GTTTAAGATGTAACGATTTTATTGCAAATAAGATCGCCAAATTGTTATTGCAAACTTAGTCAAAATATTTTTAGAACGCCATTGTGTGTGCATGTACAAGCTGTTGTATTGTGGTGAACGTAAACAATGGCACTACTTAACTGCTTTTGATTGGTTCGTAGAATCAACTTGCGTGGCCAATGAAATCATCAATTCGTGAAAACCACTGGGCTTACCGAGGATGGTGTGTTATATGCCTTCCTTATATTTTGTTAGTCAAGCAATTCTACACGTTAGGAATATGCATGGTTCAAATCGACTTCGTACACGGACATTCGCATAAGTGTCTTATTTTGGACGAAACAAATTCGAGGCGGGATATGTTTACACTTTCTTATGCCATTTCCCATCTATTTTGCTAACAAGATTTGTTGTTTTGTGCATTTCTCCAACAAATGGTATAATAGTCTGGGTTTTAACATAAAATTAAGCAGTTTTATTTTCCAAAATATAATCGAGATTGATCCTGTAAAGAATATCAATGGTTGAATTTAATCCCAGTCCTACCAAATGCTCTACAGGAGTTCGTGTCACGTGCTACGCTGTCGTACTTGCATTTTCCTGGAAGTCGATAAGGCCAGCGGCTTTCAAGGAGCCAAATCGCTAATATTTGGTGGTCACAACGCATATAATGTTATATGAATGTATATAAACTGATTTACATTCAATTGTTTCAGTCGGCAATACTATATACCGGAAAACACCGGAAAACAACCGGAAAACACCGGAAAACAACCGGAAAACACCATTTTATACTGAATACCGGAAAACACCGGAAAAACACTAAATACCGGAAAACACCGGAAAAACACTAAATACCGGAAAACATCCTAAATACCGGAAAACACCCTTAATAGGTAACCCGGAGCCTGGTCCTCTGTGTGCGGTTTTGGACCAAGTGAGCGCCGATGAAGGAAGGTCATGTTCGTTTTACAAATAGCCCCCCCCCCCCAAAAAAAAAAAAAAAATTAAAAAAATCCGATTTTTTTTTCTCCCAAATTTTTTGGACGAAAAAAATTTTCTGTCCCCCCAAAAAAATAGAATTTTTCCGAAAAATTGGTTTTACAAAAAAAAAACATTCCGTAGGAAATAATTTTACAGAGAAAAATACTGGAAACAAAATTTGAATTTTTTTTTGAGAGAAATTTGGGAGAAGAAATTCTTAAAAAAAATCTGAAAAGAAATTTTTCTTTGACCGTAGGCGATCGATCGCTTGTATGTTAATGAACTTATTTCATCAGCGCTCACCTGGTCCAAAACCACACACGAGGACCAAACTCCGCATTACTAAATACCTACCGGAAAACTTAGAAGAGTAAACTGTGCCCGAGATTTTTTTTAGAGAGCGCGCCGCGCCGCTCCGGGAGGGATCATCGTCAGGGTGGGACGGGGGGTGGAATTGTCCAGTCACGTGACGAACATAGATCTTCCATTCCTCAACCCATATTATTTCCACAGTCATTGTCATTAATCACAAATTACGGGATGATATACGAAAATGCAGGTTTACTTTGAAATAGTGCAAATGATACTTTTCCATCTACAATCTTCAGATCAAAGGATGCAAGTTCTTACACAGTGTAGCATAATTTGTGCAACAGAAGACATCTCGAATATCGATTGTCGGAAAAAACATTTTCTCGGGGACATTTTTTTCCGATTACGCATTCGGTGTAAGTCTTCAGCCACCAGGAAGTTAAAACAACAATTGCTTCCTTGAAAATTTATTGATCAACCCTTTTCACAGACGTCCAGCTTACCACTTCCCGTCAATGCAGTAAGATAGAATATGTAGTTTCCTCATGGACAATTGGGCGAAAGTTGGGGTTTTCTCAAGGAAAACTGGTCAACGAGTTGGGGAATAAAGCTCGAAAAGTAATCCAGAAAAAAAATCCTGTGTGCGGCCCTCGGATTATGATGGAATATGTTGAATATTATTATGGTTACCTATTTAGGGTGTTTCCGGTATTTAGGATGTTTCCGGTATTTAGTGTTTTTCCGGTGTTTGCCGGTATTCAGTTAAAATGGTGTTTTCCGGTTGTTTTCCGGTGTTTTCCGGTATATAGTATTACCCGTTTCGGTTTTTACTCTAATTTCTAATCAGTTATATTCGGCGAAATACGTCAGAAGTCTCAATAGAATGGCAATCTCTAGCGTCTGGTTATTCCAGTCTACATGGATAGTAATAATAATAATAATAATAATATAATGAATTTATAAAGCGCCTGCAGTCCAGTAAAAATTACTGCTCCGCGGCGCTATTACATTTTGTAAAAATGGTAGATGCAGAATAAATAAAAATGAATAGTACATATAATCACAGAAAATTTAAGAAATATGAAGTTGTTAAAACGACAGCGCAAGCTAAAAAGTTCGGTTATTAAAAGTCATCACAATCGCTACATAAAACTTTGTTAACAAGTGCAATTTTTAAAAGTCATCACAGACACTCCATAAAACTTAGCTTAAAAGTTGATTTTTAAAAGTTATCACAATCACTACATGAAACTTTGCTTAAAAAGTTCTGTTTTTAACAATTTTTTAAAAGTTACCAGGGATTGCGAGTTTTTTATGTGTTCGGGTAGAGAATTCCATAACATTGGTGCAGCGTAAGCAAAAGATCTCTGACCGTAGGACGATTTGGTTTTTGGTTGTACCAGTAAATTGTTATTCTGGGATCTTAGAGTTCTAGTTGGAGTGTATCGATGGAGTAGAGATTGAAGATAGTGTGGAGAGTCTTCAGAATGGAGAGCCAGGTACGTTAAGGAGAGGATTTTAAAGTTGATACGCGATTCAATAGGTAACCAATATGATCACGTTGTTTGGTTCTTGTTACTATACGGGCTGCCTTATTTTGGATCTTCTGTAGCTGATTTATTTGATATGAGGGGAGATTAAACAGAATGGAATTGCAGTAATCAAGACGAGATGTTACAAGTGAATTGACTAACAGTTTTGCTGTTTTTAGATCAATAAAGTTTCTAATCCGACCGATTTTAAAAAGATGGTAATTAGTTGATTTACATATCATTGAAACATGGTGTTTAAAATCAAAGTTACAATCTAACTGTACACCAAGATCACGAACATCATTTTCCCCCCATAGAGCAATATCACCGATATTGATTGGTAGTTCGTCTATTTGCGATCTCCTAAACTTACTTCCGATCGTTAATACCTCTGTTTTTTCCTCGTTTAGTTTAAGAAAGTTGGTGGACATCCACTTTTTTATTGACTGAATGCAGAGTTGTAAATTATATATTTCATCTTTTTGAGTACCTTGTTTAAATGCAATATAGAGTTGTGAATCATCGGCATATAGATGATAATCAATACCAAATTCTTTGATCAAGTCTCCCAGAGGTGAAGTATAGGCTGTGAAAAGGAGAGGACCGAGTACAGAACCTTGTGGAACACCGTAACATAAATTCACAGGTTTTGATTTTTGATTATAGTACTTATTGCGCATGCTCTCGAGATAAGAATATGAGGTCACCATTTGACATGACTTGTGAAATATGTGTAGCCTCCTTCTTCGAGTCCCTTGTTACAAATGGCGCCGAAACGCATTATGGTACACGATTTGTGTACCAATGGTAAAATGTTTATTTTGTCTTATATATTGGATATCAGAGGCCCATATTTTCCCCTAATTCGTGTTTCAATATCGCAGATTTTGGACGATATTGAGTTAAGAGACTTAACTACTTTAAGTAAATTTAGCCGAAGGACATCGTAAAATGTTTATAAGATAGCAGAAATTATATGTAGAACTAATAGAAGAGGAGAGCGCTACAAATAATTGGTCTTGTACGATTCTGATATTGTAGAATAGATAACAAATAGAACACTGAAGCCAAAAATAGTCTATATAGTAAAACTAACATGGAACGTAGACAATCATATCCAGTGGATTGTAAATAATCTTTTCTGCACCAACAGGAGAAAAATGGACATGAGACGATGTAAACATAGGCTACTTCTTCAACTCCAAGTGGTTGGAGATTGTGGCCAGGGTTCCATTATATTATTAGTCCAGTTTTAGATACATGTAATTTATTTAATACAACATTTATTTAGATCATTATGTGATTATAAATGGTAGAAATTAAGATAACATCGGATGGTCGTAACGCGGTTTTCATGTGGTTTAAATCACGGTCGTCATTTAATAGTTTAATGTAAAATGGATAATTGAGACTATACATTGTCAGTGGTACTTGACAACGGAGATTATGTTGTCAGAACTGCAAACACACACAATAAAGTAATTTAACTGAACTTTCCAATATATTCATTTAACATTTGATCGCAGTCGGACGATGATAGTCGCCCGGTTGGTTACTAGTTAATCTGGTTACTAAAGGGATATAACTCTGATATAGAAATTGTTCAAAAGGGATGAAGACCACCTTTAATTTCCCATATCTGGGATGTGCTAGCTATTTTGCATGTCTATTTGTGTTGTTTGATTGGCATAGATATAGAACTGATGTAGATGCATTATATTTCTATTTTCTACCTGATTTGGTGCCACGAAAGTTAGGGAATGAGCTACAGCATGAAGTACGCCAGTGAATTAACATTATAGACATTTATAGTCAATGGAGAAATTAATGGTGTTCTGCCTCCAGGCTTTTGTTAAATACACATCCTGTAAAGATTTCCCGATAACTTAGTCAATTTTATTTTTTAAAAATGGCTTACATCTTAGACTTTTCATTTAACATCGTGGACAGACACAGGAAGGACCGACTGACTGTGGATGTAAACGATGACAATATACGTAGGCATTTAGAATCCAAGCGATTAAAAACCATGGATTGCGTTTACATTTGCTTAATTCCCGCATGGTGACCGATCACCCGGTTGGTGACGGTGCTAAAGTTACTTGAATACATTTCCTAAGGTGCCTTTAATGTAAACTTTTTGCTTTGTTCAATATAAATTCTCTACTAAGCTTTCATTTTTATCTTTATTATTCGTGAAACAATTCAGTGAAATAAGCACAGAAATAAAAAGCATTATACAACATAATAAGATTTATAAATATGATTTGATTTTAATAACAGGTTAAACAATATAAACATTAAACAGGCCTACATTAACATTCAAGTATCTAAAATAACATAATTATACAAAGCACTATTATGATGTAAAATATAAGGATTGAATATTAACTAGGAAAACAATAAACAACAATGAAAAATAAAGGAACATCAATATAAATTGCGTATGCTTTATGCAAGGAGAAGATACTTTTATTTAAAGATGCATTATGTAAGAGCTAAGACGGCTTATTACAGGTATTAGTTTTGACTTCTAATGTTATATAATGATTAATTAGTCATTTATTAACTTGATAAGTCCATAATCAACTCTCTAGGACATCGGATGACATTGATTTTGCATGGATTAAACCCAATCGTCATTTAATAATTTAATGTAAAAATGGATAATCGAGACATAGTCTATTACCGTAGCAACGGTACTTGACCATGGAGATTATATTTTCAAAACTTCAAGCACGTATAACTTCGTTCAGAATAAAGTAATTTGACTGAAATTTCCAATATATAGTCAGCTCTTTATCTATATCTTACATAATGCATCTTAAGAAATAGTTTTAAAAAATCAACAATGACAATAAGTTTTAAAACAGTTGATATGCTACTATAGCAATGTTTTTCTCTTAAAGATTCCTTCGAGCAGAATTAGGTCCTGTGTTGGATAGACAATTGTGTTTTTTTCTTTTTAATCTAAAGTTACGATATTTTTTTATGATCAGGACTAATAATAGTATGAACACAAATTTTGTATTAATCTCAAAATACATTCGGTAAGTCATTTATTATCAAGGATCAACCACTATTTGGCGAGTTGTATTTACAGTGAATGCTATTATGACAGGCTGAACAGTGACTGAGCGCATGCCAGAGACTACAACCAACCAACAATTAAAGTGACGTATCATTTATTACACAGCTTAATATGTAATATCTATGACCCGATTGGCTTGAAATATCTGGCAAAGTATACTGTTCTAGTAACAACTATTATTTTCCAGCAACTATCTGTTGAGCAAATTATCTTTAAATAGTCTATTTAAAAAAAAATAATGAATGTTTTGATAACCATTCCATTGCACTCTCCACTAATCCTTGTCATCCATGTACAGTAACGATTTCATTCAAATATCTTCAGGTAGGAAAATATTTTTTTTCTGATTTATAGTTCTAATGTCCCGTTACACCATTGACATAGAAATAAACTTTCAAACAATAATATATAACAGAATCCGCCGCCTATTCGAGAGAATATTTATTATAATATATGACATCCAAAAAACTACTAGTCCGTATGAGAAAAAAAAGCATACAAATATGTACAACAGTCCAAGAAATTCACCGGTGTTATAAATATAAACCAATTATTGATTATGTTGAAGCGTTTTGATTGTTACCCGACTTGCGTACAGGTAAAATAGTTAAGTTGCGCTACTGAACTTCCAGGCTTTAAATCTGTAAAATAGAAAAGTGACATTTTTTTAAATGAAGTGCACTGTACTGTATGTCTTGGAGATTATTATATTTATATGATTTTGAAACAGCAGTCATTCCCATGAAAATTAAACCTATGATTTAGCACATAATTTAGGGTAAAGTTTGACACTCTCTCTCTGTAAACTACAAGAACATTTCTAGATTCCACAATCCACAGTACACCGTAAATGAACCTAGGTTTAAGTAAGTGAACCAGACGCCAAGATGTGATTCAAAGTAAAACATTTAGCCATTTCGGATCTTGTCGCTAGATTTGCTTAACGGGCATGCGTGACTTGTGTGACTTGATAATCCGGAAGTAACAATACCATAACAATTTGGACTCTTGCATTTCTGGACATAGGAACTTGCAGTTTGTATTGTTTAGAAAAAGTATCCTAGAGCTCCAGATTTTACTCAACTCAATATGATAGTTATATCTGGGATTTGTCGTTTAACACCCGTGCATCTGATTATATACAATTTACTTACCGGGCCTATTAATACTTTTAATGAGAATATGCCGCACGTGGTGGTATTAGAAACGGTAACTTCCATACCGGGAACAAAAGAATTGGATTTGGTAAATGTGGCCTTTCTAATGGCATTAGTCTCCTTGTCGAAATTACCATTACAGGCAGCGAAAGACACACCCGCATCCTTTGTACCATACCAAACACCCAATAAGTCACCTTCTTCAACTAGGGTTTGATTTACTGCTGGTAATTTGATTATATCATATCTTCGTGTCTTTGTTATTAAATACAAGGAACTTATTAAAGTGTATCTGAAAATAAAATACATTGAATATATTGAACTTTAGAAATGTGAATTTTATATAAATGGAGCATGTTAAAGATCTATCTTAAAGGAAGACAAACTACCTCATATCTCTTTAAAATTTAAAATTAGCCGAAGTAATATTTATTTATTTTAGAAAATTGAATAATTGACTAAGCTAGTTTTCAAATAAATATGCAACCGGTGCGTTCCAGAAAAAAATAAGATTATTGTCCCTCACTCCTAAACCCCAATTTGATTAAAAGGAGGCGTTTTATTTTTGATGTTCTATATTTAACACATTGACAGCTGATATATATTTTGAAGCCGGTGTTCAGATCATGGGCACTGACTGATCTATTAAATTGGCGTATTGGTCTGCCGTACTGCGTTTTGGGGAATTATGTTTCTGTTGGGTTCGAGTACATTGTTGGTGTAAAAAGAACTTGCACTATCAGGCACTAGAAGCATACAATGTGATAATTCAAAGATAAATCAAAGACCCCTACTCCCCCCCTCCCTCAACCCCAAATGAAATTAATATTATCTTTTAATTAGACTCAGTCACTACGGTAACTTTAGATTGTACGTTTTTGTGATATGGATTTGAGATAGAGTGTAATGCCCCAGCATAATCTATAAACTGATTTTATTTTGGTATAAAACCTATTCTTTCTCAATATAAATTACCTATAAGAATTTTTATTCGCTGGTGGTCTGTAGATCTGTAGGGCTATCTCACCAGGATTGCCAACATAAAAATGCCATTCTAAGATTCTACCGCGTCTTGGAATCAACAATTCCTTTGTTGTTCCAGTAAATACGTGAGAGACTCCACCATATGCACCTCTATCCTTTACATAAACTTGATTGTTATATGTTGTAGTTTTCTCTTTGACTTAAAAAAAAATATAAAAATAAAAATTACCCAAATCTTGTAGTTTTATATTTGACATTAAAAATATACTAATACACAATCCCAAAGGTAAGCATGCCATGCCAGACGCTCTAATTAGACACACGCGAGCATAATCATTCACATCAAAACCAACTAATTTTTGGCTAAAAATCTGTTTGCGGCCTCGACCCGGGCAAAGATACCAATACCAGACAGACAATTAGTTAAGTTCTCGTATTGATAACATTTTTAAGATCTGGGATTGATAGCAGATTGTTGTTAAGCTATATGACAGAGCAAGTCTAGAGCCCCGAATGGAGTCGCCAATTATTACCATTTTCTTTACTTACCGACACAAACAGGTGGAGAGCCTGAAAATGTACCGTCAGCTTTGCAGACTCTATCTAAATTACCAGCTGTTAATCCATAACCTTTTTTACACTCATATCTTATAGCACGTCCACGATATAATAATCTACGTCTACTATATAATTGTGTATTCTTCGGTGTCAGTGGCATGGTACATTGTCTAGCTAAAATATGACATTATGCAATTGGTAAAAACAGTTTTTAAAGTGACCATGGGTGGGCTTTCATTTACCATAGATAATATATTAAAAATTCCATTCAAAGTATTTTATTCTGAACGAAGTTATCACAGTTTGGAGTTTTGGCAATATGTGGCATTGCTTTTTTTATTATCGTAACAACGGTACTTGTTATTTGAGACTTAGCTTCGCTTCTCCATTTTTAAATTAAATCATATAATGGACGAAGTGTTCTAATCTAATAATAATAATAATAATGTATATTTGTAAAGCGCCCTTCCATCACAAATGCATGCTCTAGGCGCGTACTATGTACTCTATGGTCACTATTTACACACAAATCCTTATCCACTCCAATGACCTAGAGGGTTGATTATGGGCTTAACAATTGTCATGTTAATAAATATTTAAATAATAGTTTATATAAGATTTGGAGCCAAAACGAAGACCCGCAATAGGCAGATTTAGCTTACATAATGCATCTTTAAAGAGCGACATAATTTTTTCCTCAAATAATTACGTTTGATAGTAACAATAGTAAGTACAGGAGGACCGGGCCACAAATAAACAAAATACACACGACAAACCAGCGAACATAACACAAGTCCAACAGTGAGGGTAATCTTCAGTGCGGGGTGCTATACAAAAAAACTTTAACCGTAAATGCAGGAGGATCGTACCACAATCAGCACGGGAGGAACTAATGGAAAAACATCTTGGAATTGTAACATGCGTCGATCGTATTTGAATTGGTCGGGCATCGCAGCCATCTTGGAATTGTAACATCATATCAAAAATCGAAGTCCGTCAATCGATGTATCGATCGTATTAGAATTGGCGAAGCATTGAAGCCATCTCTCATGTCAATCATATTTGATCTCGCGGAGCCTTATGCTTTTTGCGAAGAGCGTTGCCCCTCAAGAAGAACAAGAACAACAGGAGAGATTATTCATGCCAACTTTTCAGATTAGTAATGAAAAGGGGGCAAACCAGATCAAAGATAGAGAAACAGTACTTACTTTTGTATTTGTTACACATACCACATGTTTCAGAACATTCAGCCCAGGCAAACGCTGGTTGTGTAGTACACATAGCTGGTGTTTCTAGTAGTAGTTTCTGACAATTATTTAATCTATCAGTACATATAGACCTTTCTAAAAAGATCAACAAACAAAATATGGTTGTATATATATTAATACAACAAATATGGTTGTGTATAAATTAATATAAACAAATATGGCTGTATATAAATAGATGTAAACAAATTGGCAATACTTAAAATCATCTTGAATATTTTATCAAACGAAGCTTAATTGGGTCCTAATTACTAAATTAATAGGCACATTTAGCAATTATTACAATTATTCCGACTGGCATAAGGGCATTGTCACTCTGATGTTCATAACATTTCCCTTTTTATTTTTTTATAGTCTGTGCTTTTAAATGGGCATTCCTATATGTTAGATCTAAAATAATATTACTGAACAAAGGCAAACAAAAGATTATTAATTGAATAAAATATAAATCGATGAAAATGTGGGAGTGTCCCTTTAAGAAATTGTAAAATATCATCTAAATTGTACATAATATGTTTTATACTATATTTAAATATATGTGTCAATATTACTATGGCCAGTTGCACAATGCACATCTGTTAAAGATTCATTCTAAGGAAGCAGGTTGTATATAAGCATTCAATACTTGTTATCGTATCCTGGATTTATTATATAAATTCTGTAAATGTATTGAATAAAATATTGTTTAAATTACATTCTACATATTTTTAAATACACCGCAAAGATCATTTTCTCTCTCAACCAAGACTATATTCGTTATAATCGACATTGAAGACGGGGTTTCGTGGGGTGATATTTTCTTACCTTGTGGTTTAATTTTACATACAAATGAATGGTGATAATAATGACCACAGTAATTATCTTCCCATTGATTGTTATATTCTTCACCTAATAGTGCCACACAATGTTCTTGATTAAACCCATTATCAGGTGCCCCTAAAACAAATAGCAATTACAGATAAAATATAAATTGGCTGAAAATGGTGTTTGTTTTGGTCGTTTTTTAAATAACACAATAAAATTACTAATATTTATTATATTACAATAAATAACTACATGTAGTGGTCGCAATGCAGCATAGAAATTAATATTTCGTGTGCAACTGAATCGGAACTAAGCCACCCGACTACTTATTTTCATTAAATATAATCTACAGCAAAATGGTATTCAGAGCCAAACCTAAACGTATTTCTACAATTGTCTATTTCAGTATTTCAACCGCCGATCTATGGACTGGTGCCAGTCTGCGAAAAAGCCAACTATCTGTAAACAATGAAGTTGTGAATATGTTTCTAGCATTATTGTTCTTTGGTGTTTCTGTTTATTTTAACTATAGAATTTTCAATTTGTAGTATTTACATTTAAAAAATTATACATATAGTACTATAATAGAATGTTTTTCATTTCTGCATTAGTGGTTCCCGAAATATGTCTCCTATTTTCAGCGACCCCCAAAATACAAAAAGGTTGGAAACCACAGGTCTATTTTACCATCAAACGTTATCAGGTATAAATTATAATCGTGATATATTTATATATTTTGTGGATACACTGTCTTAATCGTGTTGTAAATTCCCGATATTTGGCGACTGTAGGTATTCCATAAGTTACGTGTTTTACCATGACTGAATTGGTCAACTGATAAACTGAAAATCGAACCTGCTTTAAAGTTGGTCCATGTTGCCGGTGTGCCATCAGACCACACAAATTCCCCCTCCTTCTTCGAGTCCGTCAATCCAATCCATATCGTCCTTAAAGGTATTCTAGAGAAAAAGTGTAATAATTGTAAAATTTCAACTAAGCTCAACTTACGCCTTTGGGGTTTAACTATAAAGAGTGTTTATTATTGTTTTCAAATACAGATAACTTATGTACGAATCATGCACTGACCCAAATAAGATTATAAATCTTTAAAATGTTTTTTTAACAAGAGTTACACAACACACTTAAGGAATTTCATTATCCAGTTGTATGCCAGACATGATAATCGCGATGATCAAATATCAATGACATTTTGGCAAGACTTGCACTTATACAGCATGATATTTTGGGAATTATAGCCAACACCTCGTGGAAACTAAATGATTGTATCTCTTCTAAAACGCAAAGGACTTCATGTGGTTGCATAATGCAGAATAAAACGTTTATCAAAGTATTTTCCCTGTGAACTGACCAGTTTTATTTTCTAAATCCATTCGAGACCGTTCCTTTAAACTGTCAACAACTGAATAAAGGTGAACTGGAAATATAAAATGATGTGGAAGAGTCAAAGTTTAGGGTTCAACATAACCTAATAGTCATTCTCAGATTAGCGATTTATGTTGCTTATGGCTTTAGGGCACTGGAAGACTTAAATTATCAGTAAAAAACTACAGTTGCTGAGGTGGTGGTAGTAGGGTATGTTAGTACAAACCTGATAGACGTGACAAATTCTGCTTCTAATTTATCCTTTGCAGTGGTCAGTTGACCACCTTTCTTTTGACAGAATAGGTTGGCATCATTCCATAACATTCCTTGGTTAAAATATTTATAACATTGTTTTCTGAATATAGACCATCCATCTGGACATTCTGTATGAAAAACACAGATATGATATTGGTGGCATAATCTTAAATACATAAAACCAAAGTTCGCTGTATTTGATCACTGATTAGATTTTTGATTTTTATTGTATCGAATGAATGAAGTTAAAACTTCTTACTTTTCTGTACCGATTAAGCTAATGAAGACAGGTATCCGCCATACTATGTGTTATGACGGCAATTTTACCCGGACAGCAAGTGTCAAGGTATACGCGGGAATTCGGATGTTCATCCCATCCGAATGAGTAGACCCTGATCCTGGCGAGGAGCTCCCACTTTTACCACTGGCGAGGGTAAACCGCACCGGGACGGAATAGTGGGATGTTAACACACCCATTTCAATTCATTCTTGAGATAGCAATCGTAAGTAAGAATTTAAGAAATTAACTCCTACCTCCACATACGAATCCACCAGATGTCCAGCTACCGTCCGTCAAACACGAGCGTGTTAACACTTCCTCTGCGTGATTGCACCGACCATCAACCAAACATGACTGTCTTAAAGCCTGTGGAATGAAACACTGTCCATGAGAAATACAGGATTCTTCCAAAGCAGCTTCAACAGAAGAATAATTACATGCATCTCCATACAAACAAGACAGTAAATGGGCCTCCGTCTCATTGTGACACTCGCGTAAGTCCAGACATGTCTCTATGGAATCTCCATTACTGACACACCACTTTTCCGTTAAACATTTTCCTCTACTTTCATGACATGTCCCATTAATTAAGCACGATACTTGCTCTTGATCCCGGGTCAAATTACATCTGTCGTCCGTCAAACAGCGCAGTGTTAACTTTTCTTCGTCACTATCACATCTACCGTCATGGATACACGTCTGCAGCAATTCTGCCATGGTTTGTTTACATTTACTGTCCTTTAAACACTTCATATTGAATTCTCGCTTAAGATGTCTACATCTGTAGGTTATTGTGTCTCCAACATTATAGGATGATTTTATTGTTCCGACAATAACAGAATCTTTTAGATCAGATGGAGGAGGACATCGTGCTTCAATCTCTGACTCTGAAAAAGTTAACGAATCCCCCCTTATTGAAAAAGTTAACGAATTCCCCCTTATTGAAAAACGACTAAAGCTAAGCACATTTTCAAAATCAAAAAGGTATAAACAACTTCTATTTCCAAATCTCTTTTTGTTGTATGCTTTTCAGGGGGTGGGGTGGTAAATGGTTTGGGGGGGGGGAGGCTAAAAGTGAATAATGGTGGGGAAGGGGGTAGGTGCGGTGGGTGGTATAGATCATAGGGGAGTAGGTTTTATGAATTTTCTTCGGTTAATCTGATTCTCCGACTCCCAACAACCCATGTGCGGAAGCGATGTATTGAACCCTAGATGACCTAGTTAGTACTGAGCTGATGTTAAACACCATTTCTGTCTGGCTCATCCCTTTTTTTATACATTTCACCGATGTGGTTACTTGAATAGTTGAATTTTACTACATATGCTTACATTCGTATTTCGTGTAGCATATAGCAGATCATGACTCATGCTGGCATTGTACAATGGTTTCTTTGGGTTGTATTCCTGATTGGTTTCAAATCTGAGTGAAGTCTGTGGCACTACAGACCCGGAACTGTACAGCGCAGTGGACGCTTACGGCTAGCCCCCGGATCCATTCACTTTTTTTGAATTGTCTGTCTGTTTGTGTTTTCCTGAGTATGATGTCTTGTCCGTGTATTTGTTTTTGTGTAAATTGTGTGGGGTGCAGTCCCCCTGCACTTACTATTACACAATTGTTTAAAAGATCAATTTGATTTTTGTTTGTGATTTATGTTGCTACATTACTATTGTATGCTGTACATTAAAATGGTATGTTTCTACATTAAAATTGTATGTAAATTACCTGTAGTAACTAATGGTAAAGGTGGTAAATGTGATTGGCATGTTTTAGCACAATTAGAAGCTGCTCTAGCATCTTCTAGACAAAATCTTTCCACTTGTTTTACAAGCTCTTCACAATTATCCAAATTATCATAAACTTGACCTAAAATAAATTTACAAAATCGTTGTTGCTGCCGGATAATAGTTCTAAAATAAATGTGTTTTTTCTTGCATTTTTCCTGAGATATAACACAAGATCCAATTTATTGACGGCACAGTAAATGTGCTTTATTATAACACTTATTGAAATTTGCGTTTCGTACAGTCTCTCGCGTGAGTGATCTTTATATTGTACCAATATATAACTATTTTACCATTTCAGATAAATGTAACGGCGTCACAGCTTATATTACCGTTTAATTGTATTACCAATAAATGACATAACAAAGGAAAAATGAACCCGATATGCAGATCTATTAACAACATTTGGTACCTTTTAAGCAGACGTCACAATATTGGCGTTCGCAACCATCTTTTTCTATATAGCACCAAGGTTTTAATCCATCACCTGGATTACGACAATAATTACCTTCCAAACCATCATCAAAATCACTGAAACAATTATTAAAATATGTTTTTATAAGTAACATTCTGCCTGTTCGTTTCAGATAGGAATGTATTTGCCTGCTTTCTAAATAAAATTAGTTTAGCCAAAACACCGGTGTACATATGACAGAGATCCTTTCTTATTTTGATGTGTAAAATAATTAAAACGTGCCCAATTCTAAAGTCGTCAAGAAAATTAAACATATTCCGCCATCAAGGATTGTTAGTTATTGCCCGGAAATAGGTTTCATTCAGCGAGGTTTATCCAGTCAGATACTGACGGGAGATATAGAATATATATGTATCGATGTAGTTGACTAAAGCTGTTATTTTCAGAAGGAAGTTGATCAAACCTACCCATGTTTAAATGGATGATGTGGACAGTGTGTTACTTCAGCCCACGGTAGACATGGTACAAACATTTCAGTTACATTTACTTTACCCCGATATGTTAATCCTTTATCTTCTAAATTATAACACATACTTTCAGCTGAAAAAAAACCAAACCAAATACATTCATTTATTTCATTTGAATAACTGGCAACAACATATTCCACAATGTCAGGCAGGCTTTGATCAGATGAAAATAAACCATAAGTAAAAATAGGCAACAAAATCATGGGACTATATAATCTGTTATAAGAATTAGAGTTATATTTATACATATAAATAATAAACATTATCTTACGTGTTATTAACGATATTTTAGCTTTAAATCCACGCCTCTGTATTGTCATAGACGTCCATAGTATAATATTTATAGTATTAAATATACTCTGATAATTTCCTCTCTCCCACGTTCCACACATACTGAAATTAAATTAAAAAAAAAAATACAATTAAGAGGTTAAACCATTATTCCAGCATCGATACCCTTAATCTATCAAGATGACCCAAGCCATAATAGGAATCTTATCATTAGTATTGGTTTTCCTTAATTAGAATCCACTGAACAATGCCATAACTATATAAAGGTTGATCTGTGCTTTAAAAAAATCAAGAATACTTTCTATTCGAATTATGTTTTTCATTAAAGGGCTATTGCAATGACAAATTCCTTAAAACTATATATCTAATCTGACAATATTTAGCTACTCACGCAGTGCCAGTTTGGCCAGTATGTGCTAATCCTAAAGATAATTTATCTATACATGGCTTTAATACAGTTGTTCCTGCTTCAATATCAAAATCTTCAAATGTTAGAAGAAGTCGGTTATTAGCTGGGGCCTGCAGAAATGGATTAAAATATATTAGCCTTCACGGTTTAACATGATTACGAACAATAATGACATATAAAAAAAACCCATATAAAATTACAAACTACTAGCAGACAAGAGACACAGTGCATCCAATCTTGGCAGCCATCTTGAAAAAATGTATTCCTGGGCCCTTATTCACGAAAACTTAAACTAAGATACAATCGAAATTTTAAGAAATACTGCAATTCGATTGGCTGACCAGTAAAATCAATTTGCATATATCCAATGAAGTTGCAGTATTTCTTAAAATTTCGGTTGTAACTTAGTTTAAGTTTTCGTGAATAAGGGCCCAGTACGTCAACGTGTAATATATATCTAAACACTGATCATACTTTGCACTGCCTCGTCAAAATAATAAAAAAAAAACATTAGCTCAATAAACCCCGAAAATATAAAGCTGTATCATTCACAGTAGCTTAGGGGATAGGCCGGATAGCCTGGTCTGTACACAACACCCCTTATAAATAAATGGAGAGGTACTTACATTAATTTATTTTTTATGTGTCATCAGAAAGTAAATTTTGGTCATATTTAGTTTATTAAAATATTTATGGCAATGGTAGGGTGGGAAAAAGATAATAATGACGAATCGCAGATAACGATGGTCAGTTATTAGGTGGATATGAAGACGAGTTTCTTGACTAGCAATCACCTTATGTATTGTTTAATGGTCGAGAGCGAGACATTAAGTAATATATTGTAACAACATGAGGGCCGTAGGCCCGAATGTTTTTACAATATATTACGCAATGTCGTAAGCTCGAGACCATTAAACATCTTAAAATACTGACACTCCGCACGAGCTTTTACGTCACACTAGTCCAATATCTCACTGGTATGAATAAAGTACTATTGGCAAGTTGCCCGTACGATTATTTGAAATAATGGTACGCCAACATCAAAGGGTGACGTCACATCTGTATTTTAAGTCAGGATAAACCTGTCTATAACCCAGACGCGTGCGTATTGACAACATTTCGCTGTACTCTCGGCTGTTCGTTGTAAAAGAGTTGAGCAAGTGATCGTTGCGTTTGTAAGTTTACAAGGCGTAACGGATTATTCTTAATATTTTATTTGCTCAAGCGACCTTTTATACACTCAAAACTGGAACTTTCCCTGTAACAACTTTAAGAACACACCTTTATAAGCCAATGGCATTCCATGTTTCTACTGTAATTCCCTGGGTAATTTGGTGAGTTTATAACAGTTTCAGTTGTAAATTCATCTAGATAAATCACCTTGCCACAATCTAAAAATATAGTGGTCTATGTTACATCATTCTGTGTTTTTCTATAAGCAAAAGACCCATGTAGTATATGTCCCATTTGATAATATTCTAAGTATAACAATTCAGGAAGTTCACTGAACAGTACTCAATAATAAATTTACAAGATAATATTATTACAAGATAATTAACTAGAAAAGGCATATTATTGTGCTTTGCTTGTGGTGTAAATGTCGAAAAAGAAACTTTTAAACGGATTTGGATAGCAATCATTGTCTGTATGTTTTGCACCGAATTTCAAATGGGAAAAGACGTACAAGACGTATATGATTTGCTTACTATAGTCTAATGGTTCGTAGTAACAATAATATATAAGAAATTCACGGCCTCTATAGATGCTACTTCTGGGTATACTTCCATTCAACTGAGATATACCATTATCAATATTATCAAACACGAAAAACTCCAATAGATGCGACATACCTGAAAATAAAAACCAGGCAAGGAAATGAAAACCACCAACGCCCATTATCAAACCCAATCAGTCTTTCTTTAGTCACAATACCAGTCAAATGGGCACATTGGGGGGAAATTCGAGGACGAACAGCCGTAACTTACTCGTAAATCAAGATAAAATAAAAATGATACCAGGTTTTTCACTCCCTATAGTTCGAGAATCTACCAAGTAGATCTGCAAAGTACATCCACGGACAGGAGTCAAACGAGAGGCGGTACCGAGTGACCGAGAGAGTAATCATGCGGTGCATCCTATCTTGCATCTGTTAAATACATGATATCAAGATATCGGCCATACGAAGATTGAGTTCATTAATAGCTGGAATGTAAAGGAAGTATATTATTATACTACATACCACTGACTACCTGGCAAGAATCACCACCTAGAAGTTTAGCTTGAAACAGGATCATTGGTTTATCATTAGGCAATTCAATTGGTTGAGATTCAAGACCATCGTCACGACAGCAAAACTGAATTAATGTATCCTTTCCATATTCACCGTCTGGAAGTTCACCGTGATGGCTGTTATTCATCCTTCTAGAGCGTATCTCATTATCAAACTGAATAAATCCACTCTTAAAACCTAACAAATCAAAATCAATCAAATAATTCAAACCAAGGTTTTTCTATTTTCTAAATTCACATGGCAATAAAGAAAGCGAAGGCCTGAATTGGCTTATTGTTCTGGAAAGATTCGTTTAGCGGCCATCAGTAAAACAGAGAACTATAGTTAATTAAATCGTTCGCTAAAGTGATTACAAGGGTATGCTAGCTCCCCTAGAAGATGACTTTAGTCCTGAAAAATGTAACATTAATATCCCAACATGAGTGATTGTTGGAATACGCGAGGAGGCTACTGAAAGCCGTGCTTTTGTTCTGTGAATTTTAATAGTGATGATTAACCTATCAGTTATACTGTCAAGGGGTGATACGCGTCTTTTGCTATTAACAACAATATGATTAACTCACCTATTGGACATTCGCCACCTTTTCTCAATATACAATAGGAACCTCTCGGCCAACCTCCACCTAATGGCGAATAATTCTTACTCGTACAGAAGTAGTAGGTGTGGCGTTTCCACGTGTGTGCGCCCTTTAAGTGGAGTCGTTTACCCTTCGGTTCAGACCATGTATATTTATGCCAATTTCTTCCATCACTCCAATGTGTCAGAGATCCTTCGTCAAATCGACCGTCCGGACATCCAGTATGTGCTGCTATAAGTGTATAGTGACCTGAAGGCCATTTGTATTCCTTTCCTTGAAATTAAAAGATTTAACATTGTAAAAGAATATGTTCTAAATCTATGCAGCAAGTAACCTAGCTACTGCTAGAGATTTAATAATCGGAAGGTCACTTCGATTCTAGGTTGTTGATCATTAAGTCTTTTTGACAAAGAGAGCACACAAAGCCCGAAAGAACATTTTACACCTTTCGCATTTGCAGCAGCTAAGTTATTATTTGTTTTTCGAAACCATGTTTGGAGTCCTTTAACCAAATGCAAAAAGATCTTTGTTAAAAACAAGGAAAGCTATTATTGGTGGACTTACTTCGTTTTAAAAAGGTATTACAGCTGGTTGCAGGATCTAAATGCAGTGGACACATACAGTCACATTCTCCATTTACGGTTGTTATAAAACCATCATTAGCACATATTTTATTTAACCAATTACACATTCTAGCTGAAAAGTTTGGAAACGTTCATTATATAATATACATGTATATACGATTTGGTAGACCTTCTGACTGATACACAGTTTAAATGGGTACTATCACATTCTACATGAGAAATGAAATGGGGTTTAACGTCCTACTGTTCTGCACCAACTGGGCTAATGAAGACGGGTCAACAAGAGAATAAGTGTAATTAATCTCTTACAGTATATTCAAAATAATTCTCGACTCATCTAATTTTTGAAAACTTTCAAGCAATTCCTTCAAAACCACAATACAAAATGTAAAATGCGTACTACTTGTAAATAGATTCTGAAGGCGCATATTATCTCGACAGAGTTTAACGTCCACTCAACAAGAGAAGCAGATGTTAACGCCCACGGAAAATAGACTAGTTTATTTGGAGACTACCTTTATGGTATATTTGAAATATTGGAATAATTCGCTTGCGTGACCGGAACCAGGAGAACGCAAAGAAAACCCACATATAGAGGTGGAATCGAAACTACAGCACTTGCTTCGAGGACAAATAATATGGTCTAAATTACTCACGTTTCCTTTCAACAACAGATTGATCTTGATTAATAATATAATTTTACGATATATCTTACCTGCACATCTATGATACCAATTGATATCACGTAATGGATAAAATCTACTTGTTCCTGTGGGAAGACCGCGGATTAGATTACTCATTGTTGGTCTATAACTGTTTCTGTACATCTGTAACAAGGTTAAACGTTTATCAAATGTATATGAATTAATGAAATGTCCTGCAATTCACACAGAATTAGAATTGTTGTACATCCATTTTATTCAAAATGGTGTGGTCTTTTTCACCACACTATTTTATCCCAACAGTAACAATAGAATGTTGATATATGTATTACTTACATGAACTGGATAATGCATCATAGATGTCATATCATACATATAATCTACCACATTGTCTTCTGGTTCAATCCTATAGACATACAGATAATCTACAAAAATATACAAGCACATTAATGTTGTCCAACAAATAAGTAGTGTCTAACAATTCAAATTAAATTCTAAATAAACATTATTCATCAGTTTATTATAATCATTTCATTGTCTCCTATGATCATAGCTTTTGTTCTACTAAATCATTAATATAAAAAACCTACATTTACGTTTTGGTTGGGTGGCAATACTTACTTGGTCTAATCTCCTTCCAGTTAATTCTGATCCAACCCTCGGCATGGTTGGAACGATGGCTGTGGAACAGACCAAGGACATGGCCGAGCTCGTGAACACAAGAATACTGAAATAAATATTAAATATTTCTGTAAGAACTGATTGGAATCTTACATAAATATTTCTTCTTAATGTTTGACTTTTAAATTAGAAATTCTAAAAAAACGCAAGAAATATTATATGTTAAATGTTTACCCTATCGCAGCAAGAACAGTCCTGGCGATGTCTTTTATTGCCCACGTCAGCATAACACCTACAAAATATACATTATGTTAGTAATATTACAAAAAAATCAGTATTCAGTTTGAGGGTTCAAATGTATGATCGACTAATGTTCATTTGTACTAACAAAACAAATTGCCACCCCGAGGTATGAACCTTGTGGAAACCCTAGGTATATCAACACAAGTCGATAATGTACGAAGCCTTGCCGAGTTTTATTTGTTAATTTATCGACGAGTGTTGATATTCTTTAGATATAAAAAGAGTAGAAGATTTTATTTATCACGCAACCCTTACACACAAATAAATAAATATAATTTTTTGGGTATAAATCAAATTCATATAAAGCGATATCTCCACTGTAGATATCGCTCAGTAGAATGTGAAATTTATCACACAAGCGATATCTACTGTAGAATGTGTTAGGTAATAAAGTACATCTACTAGCCTATCTACAATTATGAATAGGACTAGATTTAATTGTGTTCTGGAATGAGTGGTAATTGAAGAGAAGAGAATTTTAATGTCCGACGGGGTCATTGCGCACAGTTACCAGTTTAACTAACAATTCTGGATTCACCTGTCGATTGGTGGTCAGGTGGGATTGTGGATTAATTTGGTGAAAATTGGAAGTCATTTATTTATGACAGTTTGTATTTGGAGAAATTACTAATACTTACGATCCTTTATTGACGAATCTAACATAACCATCATGGTCTAGGTTATAGGTTGAACGAGTGTCATTCGTATGTGGTACAAACGTTATACAAGTATATTTCTGGACGTAATCAATAGCGGCAAGAATTTCATTTTTCGCGCTTGCATCTAATAAAAAAAACACATTGAAGGCATAATATTCAGTAAGTTAGAAATAAAGGTAAAAATAACAGAATACTTCAGTCAAATTATGCTTTTAGGTGCAGTGCCAAAGATTTGGAAAATGGACACTTTATTATGAAATAACAATACTAGGACAAAGACCAAGTTTGTGTGTTCCAACCTCATACATTAATTATAAAAATTGTAATTTATATGAATTGATTATCGTATTGAGATAGCTAAACAAATCGTCTTTATTTATTTTTATTTATGGATTAAAACAGCCAATCCGGGTTTTCTCCACTATTTCTACTTGAAAATACATTGTAGTCTAGAAAGAAAAAAAAAATGTTTTGACTAGATTGATAATCCTAGGTAAATATTTAATAAATGTTAAAGCCCGTTCTATACACCCATCAGTCACTAACAGGGAACTTAATAACACTACTCCTAACAACAAAGTTATTGTATAGACTTTAAATGATCAGATATAAAGCTTTACAAAGTGATAAACTCTAATAAATGTAAATGTATGCATTTTTTTAAAACGTTAAGATCAAGAATAATATAATTTTAAATATAAATCAAATAGAACAAAAACGAGAAGGTTATTGTCCAATATTCCTCAACGAAACAGAGATTAGCTATAGACCGTATTACTGAATAATCATTGTGACAAGATAGGCATTGTGCCATGACTACGCACAATAAAAATCTAAAATTTTCACACGACCTGTCTGCAAATCTTTAGCTGCATTACCTATTGTTTGTTTACAGGTGAAATCTTATTATAAATGTAGACAAAAATCAATTCACCCGAACAATAAAAATAAAGTTTAATATGTGAATAGTGTATTAACCACGCAGTGCTGATTTTAATAATACAGTATATCTATTGTTAACTCTCTACTTGTTCAACCAAAACCACCGCCTTTAAATATTTTAATTTCATGCATAAGAAGAGATGCACAGATTTGAATATATATTCTTCAAAAAAAGTAGGGGATATTGAAATGCAAATACCTATGCAGGTTGCGATATGATAAATAGTCGTGGACACTTGACATGCTTTGAGAGTATGTTCACAGATGAAGAACTTATCGCCCCAACAGAACCACTGAGCTGCACATACGGACACGCAATAGCGCCATACACGTGGGAGGGGATCATTGTCAAATTTGACACTTCAAGGAAGGGTTGATGAAAACTGCCGCGTGCTGGTTTATCTATCCATGTTTGCTTTCCTATCGGTTCTTGCATAAGATTTTCTGTTTAGCGCATCTTTGCTTTAGTGTGTTACGTTTAATTTGATCGGGAGACGTGTTCGTCTACGTCAACGTCAACCGACAACACTGCAAGAATTGGCCGTGGCACTGCAAGGGGAGTGGGTCAGATTGCCCTAAATTGTGATTGGACGATTGATTAGAAGTATGCCACGACGAATTGCTGAATGTCGAGGATTGGTGGAGAAATTACTCATTATTAAGACAAAAATTAAAAACGTCCATTTTCACTTTTGACGGTGTGTCTCTTTGCGAGTGAAATAGGGCCGTCAGATAAGCCGCCCATATGAACCGTTTAATATGTTATTAACAGACACTTGTTACCTCTAATAAAAACAGCAGTGTATTTCCGCAGTTTTGTATTGTTTCTGAATACCCCTCCTTTTTTTAAAAAGTATATACGAGGAGTCCCGGGGAAGAACGATCTAAGTCAACGAACCACAGTTAATGGCACCATCTGGTAGCAAATTGTATAAGCTTTCTGTGGAACAATCAATTTCAGGTAAAAACGATCGGAGTCACATCGAACCAAGGCCCTTCTGAAATGGCCTCCCGGACAAATACAAGTCCATCGTATTTATTTGACCTTAATTTCGCTGAAAAGTGGAAGTCAGTTGTTGTACAAGTAATTATGATTCGTAATTAAGGAATAAACATTCCGAATATGCATTCGGTCACTGTGACGTCACTGGCGTCTGAGGGGATTAAGAGTGTTTTCGATAATTGGCAAAGTCGTTTTTTCCCCCATCTTATGTGCACTTTAAGTTGATGATAATGATTTCTGATATTATTCCGCACAATTTAGGCTTGGTTTCACACTCGCACCTTTCATGTTGATCAAACTTTCAAAACCGAAAAATTGCTAATTGGTGACATTTGATCTCTTCTTAAGTGGCCTCTCTAGCAAAAATCCCATTCTTAAGTTATATTTTCTAATTTAGGGCACAATCCTCTATCAAAACCACTGAAGTAAAACTTGTACCTTCCATGTTGAATAAACCATTTTTTATTTATTTATTATAATTTTTTTTTTTTTTTTTTGGGGGGGGGGGGTACTATGGTTGACTCCTCCTACCATACCCACCACTGGCGCAACTTAAGAATTGGGTTTCTGGTATTTGGTAGTCTTTAGTTAATATTGGGTGGTATTGGATGGTATTGGGTAAATGGTCCTGGGCTGGGATCTCCTAACCTAGTCAAACACCACTAGCATACCAAACCTTCCGCACATTCCATGTTGAACAAAACCCACTTAGCTCCCGGACTATATAGTTTTCCACTGCAATAATACGTTAGTATGTCGTGGTGGTATTTGGTAGTCTTTAGTTAATATTGGGGGGTATTGGATGGTATTGGGTAAATGGTCCTGGGCGAATATTGTTGATATAAAGTCTGGGTACGACCATTTACTTTTTCGTTTCAAAGTTACATCGAGTAATTAAAGCTGATTATCGTCGATAAAAATTGATACATACCAATACTCGTATCATATATGTAAGGAACTATTCCATTGGTCCATTCTTTGTCCTTGATTATCATTCGTTTGTGACGAACCAATGGCACGTCATCTTGTTTCTGGGAAAGACAAAACATATAATGTTACGTTCATGGGGATTGTGATGAATTGTAATAACCAGGGCCCAATCTTATAGTTATAACTAACTTATTTCTATGAGATCCACACTGTCCGAAAAGTATTTTCTCGTCTTTTTCTTGTCCACTGCATATGCCCGAAAATATGCCCGAAGCTCTCTTATGATAGGTATGCCCGAAAAAACGGTATTGCCCGAAAATAGGTATTGCCCGAAAAACGGGCATCGGGCCGGAAAGCGGCAGAGAAACTAGCAGTAAAACGCGTTTGCGACCGTCAAATATTCCAAAATTTTCTTGGCGGGTCATTCGCCTCTCAAAGAAAACCGGCGCCGCTGTCTATAAATCCGAAATTTTTCGGGCATTTCTAGTTTTGCTTCCCTAACTGTCACCGAGCCCTAATAAAACACTAATTTTACTTTTCTTGTAATTGAATATCACGAATTTGTACTGAGTTGACTATGGATTAAAACATTTTGTCTGGAGCCATTCTACTTTGTGCGACATTTTTCAGGCATCGATTATTATTTGTGAATGCAGATGTAACAGTCTGATTGGATGGTTAGAATTCAGAGTGGGATTTCAGTTACAAAACCATTGGATACTTTTGGAGTTGCTTACACGGGCTAGAATAGCAGAAAACGCATTTACGGTGATTAAATTTTCAAATTTTTCTCCGGGAGGGTGAAGCCTCCATATACCGCGCGACGATTGATTGGTTGTTTGGAATTCGGGTCAGCCAGGTAGGCTATATTGGACCAAATTGAAGTTGCTGTATTCACAGACTGGAATAACAGGAAAACGCGTTTGCGGCAGTTACATTTTCAAAATTTTCTCCCAACGGTCCCGTCTTCGTTGACTGTAAACGATTGATTGGAATTCGAGTCAGCCACCTTAATAAGGCTATAATATATATTCGACCACTTTGAAGTTGCTTTGTTCACCGGCTGAAATAGCAGGAAAACGCGTTTGCGACAGTTAAATTTTCAAAATTTTTCCTAACGGTCCCGTCTTCGAGGACTGTAAACGATTGATTGGAATTCCGAGTCAGTCACCTTAATTAGGCTATATTAGACCACTTTGAAGTTGCTTTGTTCAACTGCTGCAATAGCAGGAAAACGTGTTTGCAGCCGTCAAATATTCCAAAATTGTCTTTGGGGGAGGGGGGGGGGGGTATACAAGGTCGCTGCTGTCTGTAAACCCGAAATTTTTTTCGGGCATTTTGGGTTCTGCCCCCCTAACTGTCATCGAGCCCCTACGCCTATGAATGTAAATAAAAAGCCTGGTAACATAATTAACGTTTACATTCAAAATATTTGAAACCCTAATAAATAACGAAGACTGGCATTTATCAAAACTCCTAATCATACAGCTGATTAAGAGAAATCTCTAAAACTGTCAAAGAACTATCATCAATGTTTGTGTTTGCATGAATTATAAATGTATGATAAAGGGTTTCTTTAAAATACAAAATTAGTTTTGCAAGATATGCTATGACAGTTTCATTATGTCCGGAACAACAATAGAGATGGGGACATTTCGAAAGTTATGAAGGACTACATTGTAAAAGCAGCTATTTCTGTAGCAATATTGCTAGAATTTTTGCTCTTATAATTCATGGTGGATTATATTGCGTTAATTAATGTCTTTGTCCAATTGTACTAAATATGCACTAAAAATACAAGTGACAGGTTGACACATAAAAAGAGTTATAGAACCAAAACATAGCTGGTTCTATGTGTCAACAAATTTACGTGTGATTGGAAATTTACCTATTGCACCATTTGGTTTAAGGGACCAATCAAATCATTAAATGCACAGGTTCAGGGTCATCAATATACTAATTTGTGCGTGATGTTCTCGGGTCCTCGGCAAACTTTAAAGTCAGATTTCATTTGATTCCGGAGAGATTACCATCTGAGTTCCTAGACAGCAGCTTGATTCCAGAAGGGAAAAGATATCGCAATTTCTATCAGCAGACTCGCCCAGCGAGTCTGGCTGGATGAGGTTTGAGAGAATGACTTTATTTTATTATACATTGTACCATATGTAAGCAGCTATGATATATAAAATGTAAAAACGAACTGTTGCATTGTTATTCCTGGAAAGACAAACGTCTTAAGAAAACAGTAAGAAGTAAATACACAACGTGAAGGTAGAGCAAAGACAACCAGAGACAAATTCTAGAAGATCACAGGGCTACTAAGATATGTAGTAAGAAAAGATGCATTGGTCGGTCGTACGTAGGATGTGGCGACCGGTTTGACAACGTCTACTCTCCACGTCTGACAGAAGACCCATGGTGTCAAATTTCAGTATACATGTAATTGGAATTGAAGAATCTTGGGAAAAATCAAACTCGTCCCAGATTTTATGGAAATAATGGAACATGTGGGATTTAATTAAATTGGATACAAATTCTAGAATCCAATTCGATCACAAGCTACCTACATCATATGTAACTAGTCCGCAATGTGAATGACTCTTTGATAGCCTTTTTATCTGTCAGTGTTTTCTGGAAAAATTCTGTTAAAATTTTTTCAAAAAGCTCCGAACTCTAGAAGGTGTCAATATATTCCAACATAAAATGGAGTTTAACCCTCTACTTTTCTGCATCGACCGGACTAATGAAAACGGACTGTGTGGAACATGCTAGAATCGATTTGTATCATATCTGACCCACGCACGGTATATGTTTGACACTGAGTAAGCATTATGATTATGATTATAATGTTGAAAACCACATTGAAACCGCCGGGTTTTTTTTTTAAACTTGCGAGGGGGCACAAAAACTCAAGGGGCGCAAAAACTCAAAACCTTGACGTAAAGCTCGTCATTGCGGCTCTCTCACTTACCCCCTGTTTGAGATTATCGACTGTTATTTTTAATGTTATAACAATTAGCTTATAAAGAACTAAACTATATGCTTATATATTTTACAATAATCCTATACCAACCATTTCATTTGAGTCATTTGGGTTGAGCAACTGGTTTTATTGAAACTATACAAAAGAAAAATATCGCACTGTAATATAATCCTGGGTTGACATTCTGTCTATTCAAAAGCCGCCCAATGCATGCCAAATAATGAGTTGGGCCTACCGTCTTAAAGTGCAATATAACGGGGCGGTGTACATACTTTGATCATTAATAAACAGTTAATAAAGTCAATATTTTATAGGTTAGACCCAGATTTTGGAGCCTTAAATTAAAAGTAACGAAATTGAAATTTAGAGGAAATAAAGATTCCCCGTGACATTGTTGATATCTCAAAGATAACTTGTAAAGGTCAACCGATATTGATTTGCTAATTCTTTAGATCACGTTTGAAATTGTTGACGCATCCCAAACATCCCCTCATTAAATACTGATGAACTCATTAATTACATATTAGCAATGGATATATTTCATCTTCATCTCCTCTTAAATATCACATCCGTCTTAATCATCATTTTGACATACTATTCAAGTGTATATTCAATTTTATAAGTTTGTTTGCGTACTTGTTCAAATGGTTGTATATAGGTTATATTGTATATAATAATGTACTATACGTTTCGGCCACCAACGTATCGACCACAGGGGATTTTAACCCCAACCGTAGCGGCTAAGCCTAACATTAATACTAAACCTAACGGCTAAACCTAACCCCAATCAGTTAGCCCCATTTAGCACTAGTTAACCTCTTTGGCCTTAACCTCCTTGGCCGAAACGCTGGACTACACTATAGTAAACACTTCTTGGTTTATATTTATATTTGTAAATCAACAAACATTATTAATTTTGATTTATCTTATTGCCTATTCTGTTACCATTAGAAACTATTTTTTTTTTAAAGACAATATTAAACATTACACAGGGAATAAACATGTCACTAATTTCATTCTTTCCAGTCAAGTCCCTTCGGTGTTCATATATGGACGTATGGTTATAAGAATGTAAATAATAACATTATTAAATACTTACAGCTAGAGAATGGTCACTACTGCCCACATGTTGGACAAGTACTACTACAGTGATGTAGCAGTATAACAGTATCCTCAACTCCATGTTGCAATCTCCACCATTCTGATTTCAAATATAATCACTTTCTCACCCAACTTTTATACGACTTTCCCCCGTATGAAAAACTCTATAATCCCGTCATGTCAATCATAGCCTATCGGTGAGTAGAGATAGATCATATATCTATTATTCTGGTAGAAAGTGAGGGTCTTACACTAGGTGATATTGTATTGATATGAATAGTCCAAGCTTTCAACTGATATTAGACAAGATATAAATAAATGTAAAGACTTTTCATATACAAACATGTAAAATATATATCCGTCCATTACATCACCTCAATGTAGGCTCTTAGATAGGTTATACAGTTTTATCCAATAGATTTAAACATATATACGATAAAATCCAACAGAACATTATGCCAGAATAAAATTTAGAGAGTGTAAACGGACATGTTTAACGATTCGCGTATTCTTATGTAATATTTGAAGTTAACTTGCGTCCATCTTTACGTGTCTGAGTTCATAAAATAATAATATTTCGGAAATTATTTTCATAAACGCCATATAAATTTTAAAAAAAAAACTGCAGAGCGGAGCAAGTAAAATAAATATCTTAAATGATAATCTGTTAGGTATCAGTGTTTTCAAAATAATTTTTCGATACTTTTCTCTGTTAAACAGTTTGGGATATTGTAAACGTGACAAACTCAATAGTGATATATGCAGACTAGAATTATATATTTACTAATAATCATAATCCTGCGATTGTTCCAGAGTAATATTGAGTGTTGGGCCAAACTTTATTACTCGGTGGCACGTGTTATACTAAAATTTAACCCTTTAAAGAAGATTCTTTTTCTACTAAATTTAATTTTAATTTATTCAGGTCCGGTACGTAGCTTAGGTTTAGTGTATATAGCCTACATATGTTGATACCAAATATGTTGAACTAATCAAGATCCACTTGTGTATATGAAGAAAACAGCTACTGTCGGCTATGATCGCTGTGTGGATATCATCTTTTTTAATTTGAAAAACAGATACCAGAAGTTTATTATTAACTCCTATACGTGTTCATAGACTGTGTGGAGTAAAAATTTCTTCTTGTAAAAGCTGTTGAAATTATTATAATATAGATTGATGATGTGTTATAAGTCATCTATACAATCTATAATTTAATACAATCTATAATTTAATAAGTTGCCATATTGAAAGGTTCAAGGGGGGTAATACCTATAATTTAATTTTAAATTAATTTGGGTATTTTGATAGATTAGAAAATGAATTAAACGTTTAAAATCAACGAACTTCAACATGAACCTAATACAAAATGTATTTAGCAAATATCCCCTATGGTGGTCTTCTTTTGAACATCAATGGAATGCCACTTGCTTTGTCACTTTGGGATGTTGTGTGAAACATGTTATGTTCATTGCTTTCTAAATTCGCCCAGAATATCGTGAACTTATACTGAAGCCAGGCCCGTAACTAGTGGAGCGCAAGGGGGGGGGGGGGCAAAGCCCCCATCCCCCTCCTGCAAAAAGTTTCGGCCCCCTCGTGAAAAAATTGTCGACCATAAAAACAATAGATATACATTGTCCGTCAATTTTACAGCATCCCTGAGAACTCTTCCCGCCCCTCGTTGCTCTGAGCTAGTTACGGCCCTAACTGAAGCATAAGCAAAACCAGCGGCTGCCAGGCAGGATACGCCCACATTTTTGAGAGATGGATAGAGAACAAGCTAAAAAGAAAGTGATTTTTCCTCCAATCAAGGGCCATAATTCATGAAGTTACAATTCGATATGCGCAAATATCGAAAGGAACCAAGATCTTTGGGTTATAAACATGCATTTCCAGTTTCATCAAAATCGGATTAAAATTGTAACCTCTACAGGGTCCACAACCTTGATATACCATATTTTTACACCTTTCGCGTACAAGCGGCGGCCACTTTGTCCGGCAGTTTTGGTTTGATTTTCAGGAAATTTAAACTCAACTTTTATTATGGTGTTACGGTGATATATTCAATTTTTTTTAAAATCAGATAATAACTGTGACCTTCAGAGGGACCACAAGCTAAAAGAGGCGATTTTTCGTATAATCAGGGGCCATAATTCATGAAGTTATGATCCGATATGCGACAATATCGAAAGGAACCAAGATCTTTAGGTTATAAACATGCATTTCAAGTTTCATCAAAATCGAATTAAAATTGCGACCTCTACAGGGTCCACGACCTTGACATATGCCATATTTTTACACTATTCGCGTACAAGCGGCGGCCATTTTGTCCGGCAATTTTGGTCAGATTTTCACGAAATTCGAACTCAACCTTCATTACGGTGTAACGGTAATATAATCAAACGTTTTTTTTAAATCGGATAATAATTGTGACCTCCAGAGGGACCACAAGCTAAAAAAGGCGATTTTGCGTACAATCAGGGGCCATAATTCAGGAAGTTACGATCCGATATGCAACAATATCGAAAGGGACAAAGATCTTTAGGTTATAAACATGCTTTTCAAGTTTCATCAAAATCGAATTAAAATTGTGACCCATACAGGGTCCACAACCTTGATTTACACTATAATTTTTATACTATTCGCGTACAAACGGCGGCCATTTTGTCCGGCAATTTTGGTCCGATTTTTCCCAAATTCGAACTCAACCTGCCTTAGGGTGTAACGGTGATATAATAATACGTTTTTTTAAATCGGATAAAAATCATGACCTATATAGGGTCCACAAGCTAAAAACACGATTTTTCGTATAATCAGGTGCCATAATTCAGGAAGTTACGATCCGATAGCGACAATATCGAAAGGAACCAAGATCTTTAGGTTACAAACATGCATTTCAAGTTTCATCAAAATCGAATTAAAATTGTGACCCATACAGGGTCCACAACCTTGATTTAACCTATATTTACACTATTCGTGTACAAACGTCGGCCATTTTGTCAGGCAATTTTGGTCCGATTTTCCCCAAATTCGAACTCAACCTTCCTTAGGGTGTAACGGTGATATAATAATACGGTTTTTTAAATCGGATAAAAATTATGACCTATATAAGGTCCACAAGCTAAAAACGCGATTTTTCGTATAATCAGGGACCATAATTCAGGAAGTTACAATCCGATATGCGACAATATCGAAAGGAACCAAGATCTTTAGGTTATAAAGATGCATTTCAAGTTTCATCAAAATCGAATTAAAATTGTGACCCATACAGGGTCCACAACCTTGATTTACCATATTTTTACGCTATTCGCGTACAAACGGCGGCCATTTTGTTCCGATTTTCACGGAATTCGAACTCAACCTTCCTTAGGGTGTAACGGTGATATAATAATACGGTTTTTTAAATCAGATAAAAATTATGGCCTATATAGGGTCCATAAGCTAAAAACACGATTTTTCGTATAATCAGGTGCCATAATTCAGGAAGTTACGATCCCATAGCGACAATATCGAAAGGAACCAAGATCTTTAGGTTACAAACATGCATTTCAAGTTTCATCAAAATCGAATTAAAATTGTGACCCATACAGGGTCCACAACCTTGATATAACCTATATTTACACTATTCGTGTACAAACGTCGGTCATTTTGTCAGGCAATTTTGGTCCGATTTTCCCCAAATTCGAACTCAACCTTCCTTAGGGTGTAACGGTGATATAATAATACGGTTTTTTAAATCGGATAAAAATTATGACCTATATAAGGTCCACAAGCTAAAAACGCGATTTTTCGTATAATCAGGGGCCATAATTCAGGAAGTTACAATCCGATATGCGACAATATCGAAAGGAACCAAGATCTTTAGGTTATAAAGATGCATTTCAAGTTTCATCAAAATCGAATTAAAATTGTGACCCATACAGGGTCCACAACCTTGATTTACCATATTTTTACGCTATTCGCGTACAAACGGCGGCCATTTTGTCCGGCAATTTTGTTCCGATTTTCACGGAATTCGAACTCAACCTTCCTTAGGGTGTAACGGTGATATAATAATACAGTTTTTTAAATCAGATAAAAATTATGACCTCTATAGGGTCCACAAGCTAAAAACGCGATTTTTCGTAAAATCAGGGGCCATAATTCAGGAAGTTAATGTCCGATGTGCACGAATATTGAAAGGAACTGAGATCTTTGGGTTATAAACTTACATGTTAAGTTTCAACAAAATCGGATAAAAATTGTGACCTCTATAGGGTCCACAAGCTAAAAACTTGATTTTTCGTACAAACAGGGGCCATAATTCATGAAGTTTCGATCCGATACATGCCAATATCGAAAGCAGCCGAGATCTTTTGGGGATAAACCTATATTTCAAGTTTCGTCAAAATCGGACAAGAATTGTGACCTGTAGAGAGTCCACAAACAAATTGTGGATGGACGGACGTCCGGACGGACAGGGGCAACGACAATATACCTCCACATGAAAATGTGGGCGTATAAAATCCGAATAACTCTAATTGGGCAAAAACACCCTACGTAAAACCTTACGTCCAAATCAATATACTACATGAAGTAGTATGTGCTTGGCTTAAACAATATTTAACTTCAAAGAATAAATGTTGTTTTGGTTTAGTCCCCACCTCAACCTCATGCAGGCTTTAGGGTTGGTAATAACTTTTGCTATATCCCGACCACAAACTCACCTTTAAAATTAGTTGCTGCTCATATAGATAGAAAAGTTGTTTTTAGTTGCCGTTGATTTAGTATGGGCTTATTTCAGTTTTTGTCAAATCTGTGGCCATATACAGGTATAGCTGTCTTCAGATAAAAACAAGATTTGGTGCTCAAATAGTTGAATGTATTATCAAATCAATGTATGTCCTTAATCTTGACTTACCATCAATTGACAATACATCACCAAATTGGTCATGTCTTTACCTTAAAAACTTCAAATAACCCAAAGTACCTTATTTATCTATTTTATTGATAGCATTTGTCAATGGCTCGTTTTGTGTTTACACTGAATTAAAACTAGTCTGTGGTTCTTATACTTTAATTATTATAAACAAAACAACACACTACTAGAAACCACACTATACAAGATCATTCAAGACTAGGAGTCACCTTCTTCCATACATAATAGTTACCACAAATAAATTATTAGTTAAAATGTAACCCTTCATTCATTCAATCATACATACACATCAATATAACAAAACAAACCGGTGGAATAATTTATACTATAACATCTCCCCAACCTCCTAGTGAATACTTCACATGACATTACATGCACAGTGTTAGGATTTATATCCATGATATTGTATTTCATTATACTTCTCTTGACAGAGTTGCTCATTTTTTTACAACAAATTTATGTGTTACTAACATGATTAACAATAACTCTGACACTGAGAGAACAAATGATTTCAAACCTAATTTTAATAGTAAAGTAGGCTGTTTTGATTTATAATTCCTATTAGTATGTACATACTGGTATTTATATCACTATATAGATTTAACACACCCTAATTGTTATTTTAATATCACTGGAGGTATGAAACATAGTAATTTGATTAAAATACAGATCTATATTTAGTTTCGTTTTTTTATACTTTCGATGGCCTACACTACATGAAGATATGACCAGTTGTACTCGAAGGCTGTGTCAGGGGTCATACGAGCGGCTTTTGACCCCATGACATCAGACATTAATTAATCAATCAGCGTTGACGTTTTTCGTGGTTTACCCACAGTTCTATGATGGCACGCCAAGATGTTGCTGTAACAGACTGTTTCATTGGCTTATGCCTCACTTCAACCAAAACGCCTGTTATATAATAACTCTTCCAGATCCTAGTGTAGTAAAACGAAATTTTGAACTATAAAAAAAAAAACGAAACGAAATAAGATCTGTGTTTTAATCAGATTGGAAATATAGGATACACCGGACATTACCTTGATGTCCACTATCACTAATTATATCTTTACACAGTATATTCTGAAATACACATTATTGTATATAGTTTTGATCATAAAGAGACAGGTTTTACATACATAGACAAAACCTGTTCCCCAAATATTGTTTAAAAAAAACTTGTAAGATGTAATTTAACTAAATTCTTGATCTATACATTTAGCTATAGTATTTAGTTGAATGTTGCTGGTTCCTTCATATATAGTACCTGAAAATATACAATTCATTTTATTACTGAGATATTTTCACAGATATCAAATAATAGAGAATACAAGAACTAAACTAAAGTGTTAATTCTACAAGAAAAATGTAGTGTGAGCTATTAATAGATATATACTTTCTTCTTTTTTTTCTATATGGCATGCCCACTTTTGTTGATTTTTGGGTCTAAAATTGATGAAAGGTGCTAGAATTTTGATTTTTTGCTGAATGCATATAAATTCGAGGCAGAAGGACCACAAGATTAACAGGTCTCTATTTGAGACATTCCTTGTGAAAAAATATGATTCCACCTTAAAAGAAATTGTGCAAGTCAACCATCTTCTAGATTTTGATCAAATAATTGTAATATGTTGAGCGCTTTGAACTTAGCAGAATGTTTAGCAAAACAGTTATAGACCCACATATGCAATCAAAATCAGTAGCCTTATATTAAACACTACCATCCTACAACAATAGAGCAAGTGTTGTAGGACTGTAGTGTTTAATATGAGGCTACAGTTTGATATCTCACTATGTTATTTTGTTAATATATAGCAGGCCAAGATATGAAATGCTATATTACCATTGAAGTCCTTGTAGGAAATAATTAGTAACCTTATTGCAAACATTACAGTGATAGAGTAATCTCCCTTGACCAGTGAAAGACTTATGGGGTGCTTGATTGTCAGTCTGGAACGTTCCAAACGAGTGACGCAGAATTCAGTCCTGTCACAGTTCTGTCAGTCCCGACAACGGTGGTGGTGTGAGTAGAATCGTGACATAATTAAACCTAATGAATATGTTTCAGCTGTCATGGTTGGTTGAGATTTTTTTTTCAGGCTGTCCGCGCATGCGTTCTAGTGCTAAATCCCATTTTCACTCGATTTTCACTATTTTGGGGTACAAAACTCCTCATTCATACATTCATTACAAATAAACTAGACTATCATAATGCCTTCTTTTTTGACCTTCCAAATTCAAAAAATCCAAAATGCTGCCGAAAGAGTTTTAACAAGTACAAAAAAATCTTCATTGGCTCCCAGTTCCAACAGTGAATCGAGTTTAAAATATTACTGTTGACTTTCAAGGTGTTACATGATCAATCATCAAAATATATCAAAGATCTGATCACTTCATACAAATCCATCAGAACTTTTAGATTCACAGATAAACAATTTCTGCATCAACCATCAGTGAATCTTGAAATCGCAAAAAGATCTTTCTCATTCTCTGCCCTTCTCTTATTGAATTCATTGCCAAAAAACATTGACATTTAAATGCATTTAAATCTCAGCGATTTCAATACTTCAATAGAGAAAACTTGAAAAGCACGATAGAAACTTCTGTTTTACTATAATCATGCTATATAATTAGAAGTTTATTATAATTATTATTATTATGAAAGAATAGCACATAAAGTTAGCAATATCTGGGATGATGTAATGTAAATCAAACTTAGAGAAATGGGGGTTAACATCCACTCGACACAAACTATGTAATTTCGGAATAATATGGTTCATTAATTTGCTTGCTTGTAAGGGTTCCATTTTATTACCAATTTTTGTTTGCACATAGGAATCTTTAGGTTGAAATCGAAACATCACCACTTGACTCAATGACAGACCTTAAGATCTAAAGTGCATGTGTTAAATCATTCACCACCCAATCCCCCTGCTAGTTAAAAGTAAACATATCTTGTTTCAAACAGATACAATGTAGTTACATTTATTTACCTATTTTACAATCTCTGTAGTATTTCTCTATCGGATAATCTTTAATAAAACCAACTCCACCCATCCATTCAATACATTTAGAAGTCGTTAACGTAGCCACCTAAAATTTTCAGAAGTTTTATTTTTAAAACAAGCTAGCAAAATAATTATGTATTAAGATTTATTTAGTTAGAATAAATCAGTTACTATATATCAGGTCAACGATGGTTGCATCCCCCTCAAACTTGACAGGAATTTTTTTTGGGCAACAATCAGTTATTTTGGGGGCTGCAACTCAATATTCAGTCAAAAAACATCAATTGAAATCTTGTTACCCGTAACCCAAAGTGAACATATAATCAAATTAAAAACCAACATAATTATTATAAAATAAGCACACTTACCTCGGATGCATATAATTTAGACATTGCAGCTTCTTTAACAAATGGTAGACCTGCTTCTTTACGTCTGGCAGCATTATAAACCAGTAATTTAGCAGCTTCTATTTGCATTGCTACATTAGATATCTGATGCTGCATTCCCTGAATACATTAATCAAAAGACTGTTAAATTACTTGTTTAGTAACAGTAAGCCTAACTAAGAAACCAATATTTTTGTCGCTTATGCTTCAAGGAAATAGATCCATATTTCATACTATGTCATCTTATAAGAGATATTAGATGCAATAAACACATCTTCACCAAATTTTACCCATTATTAAATGTGGTCTTTAACAAGAATTTCTTTTTCAAGGTAGAATAGCTCAGATTTTGATGTGTAATGTATATGATAGAAAATATTAAATATTTATATTTTTTACCTGAAAATCAAATATTCTTTTACCAAACTGCTTTCTCTCTTTACAGTAAGGAATGGTATTTTCAAAACAACCTTCAGCTAGACCTAACATCTGTATAAAGAAACAAGACAAGTCAAACTTTAATTTTATTTTTTTTTACAGTGAATTTTAGTTGCTGCAACAAATTAAATTATCAAATAGTTTCTAACATACAAAAAAACGATCAAATTCTACATGCTTTAACAGCTTTAAAAAACTTTATGAATGTGAATACTTGAATGTCAATATATGAATATTTGTGCATAAAATATTACAAAAGTAAAAAGTAAACAAATTTCTAGACAAATGACTAGTTTGATTATTTTAGATGTAACCTGTTTATGATTTATATCTTCTAATCGACATGTTTACCTGAGCACCAATGCCTATTCTTCCCTCATTTAACATTTCTATAGCATATTTATAACCATGACCAAACTGTCCTAAAATATTACTCTCTGGTATCTGATGACAAAAAACACAAATTCTATTTAAAACAAAATAACTTGAATACAAATAAATAAGTTTTATACTATCCCTCAATTAAACTGGCAGTCAGGGTATAAAAGGAGACCAGATGACCAAGAGCATATTGGCGGATTGGGATGGCCTGTGGTCTATAGTGTCGCGCTTCAAACTCTATATGGCCGGTCACCTCTGGCTTGCTGTTGTGGTTTTGATCCCTGATGTGAATCTGGTGGTTTTACTGTGGGCACTCGAGTTTCCTCATACAGAAAAGACCCCAGTGAGTGTGCTAAGCATGATAAAATAAGACAACACTAAAAGAAGACGAAAAATAATAGCATATTTTCTGCCTCGTCACCCTAGGTGGTAGCTTAACAATGATAACATTAGATCCATGTTTTTTTGTTGTCAGTACACAGAACTTGTATAAGTCACTTGTTTATTACTGTTGCATGAGAACTGTCAGGACAGTACAAGACAGGGATTTAACATCACATCAATACAAGTCAGACTGAATGTAGTGTTAATCGAGTGATCAGGGATCCAACAAGCCTTGCCTTCACTTGTCAGGAGTGGCACAAGCAAGCTTTACAAGGAAAGTGTTTGGATAGGACAATAAACCAGGTCCACCATGATACAGAAGTCTGAAGCCTGCTATCCCAAAAAAATTCTCCACCTGGCGTTGCACATCACGGACATGAAAATTATCATAAATTTGTCTCATAAGGACCTAATTATTGTGTTGACAAGACATTCCATTTTAAGACTATGGTTGCTTACTTTAACATTTTCAAAAGTTACTGTAGCTGTCTGTGATGCTCTAATTCCCAATTTATCTTCTTTCCTACCAATACTGACACCTTCTGTATCACGGTCTACTATAAAACATGTAATACCTTTATAACCCTGAAAATAAAACAATATTAAACAAGACTGAGTATATCCTGTCTAAACATGATAACACTTCACTTCTTATAGTGTATAAAAACGACATCCGGACATTGAAAATTAAGAGTTAACCCTATGGCATGGCAATGACCATCAGTGGAGTCACAAGAAAAGGTTATTTTATATACATGAGTAGCATCAAGTGTTTAAGACGCAAGTAATATAGCTTGTTTGTGCTCAACATCAATACTAGCCTAGCTAGCACTTATATAGTATAAATTATGTTATTTCCCAAAACATATAGTTGGACTAAGACTAGTAAATATTTCCCCTTATATCATGATGGACAAATGTAGTGCCAGTTATAAATAGACAATTTTTCTCTTAATTTTTTTCTCCCCTCTTCCTGCATTTTTTGGTTGACTTTTTGGTCTAGAATTAGAGAAAAGGGATCAAATTTGCAATTTCATAGCAGTTTGGGGTAAGACTGATGATATAACAGCAGAGGGGTAGGGGGTGTAAAGTGTCTTTCTGCAGAGCAATCATTGTGTCGGATGTGAGATTTTGACCCAAGTCAACATCAAATCCCCATAGCAAAAAATCTAAATGATCCACCCCCTACAAAATTATGATGAGAAGATTGCCAAATGTGATCCCCAAATGCATTGTGTCTATAAAGATTGGAACCAACAGAATGTTGAGCAAAAAGCTACATCCTGTGATGTTACAGCCATTCAAAATTGAAGCCAATGGGCAAATAATTGCTAGTCTGAGACCTGATGGTAGAGATGTATTTATCTCCCTTTAAGGTCATGCTCTTGTGTCCAGATCAATTTCTGTTTCAGGTGGAAAGCTACCCGAAAATAGCTTTCTTTAAATCTTAAAGCTATTGAATTGAAAATGGTACAAGCTGTTAGGAAATGTAATAAACAAGGGAAAACTAACACTGAAAAAAAAAAATTGTTGCCTTGGGTAACAGATTTTTTTGGGAAAAAGTATGAAAACCATTGGTACACCACATCTCGGTAACTAATTAAGATATCTTCACCAAAATTGCAGGATATATAAACAAATATCTACCTCAGAATCAGAAAGAAAGCTATTTGAATTATCATTAATATTTCAAAAGTTATCAAAATATTTCTCCAAAGACAAAATTTTGTGCTGAGGCAAATGTTTTAAACACCATTTTCCAAGAAACTATAACAATTATAGAGAAAAACTCTCTGTCTAGTTTCTGGGTTGTCATTTAAGAATAAGCAGTCCAAAAATGAGACATTTATCTTTATTAGTGCCAGCGATATGGAGTACCTACGTTTATCATACCTTTCCCCCCCAAAAAAGTGTGTTACCCTGGCAACAACATTTTTTTCTTTTTTTTAATGATAGTTTTCCCTAGTTTATTACATTTCCTAACTAGTTCCATTTGCAATTCAATAGCTTTTAAAATTTAAAAAAACATTGTTCGGGTAGCCTCGCCTGTTCAGACTTAAGCCTGTCTAAAATGGACGCGAGTTACCCAGGAGTAGGTAAAGTGTAGGGTGATGCTGTGGTAATGCCAGTGAAGTAGTATAACACCAACGCAACATGTATATCAGATAACGCAATCATAGTGCCACTCTGCTGTCACCCCTGCTTCACTGCAAGTACTTGAGATTATGGTTGATTATACATCAACTAACAAATATTGATCATAAATAATTGAGAATTGTCAAACCACACTAGATTATTAGTCATAAGATCAAGTCAACCATCAGCCTAACATGATATATACTTACATCAGTAGGTTTAGCATTTGCCATTACCAGAAAGACTTTAGCCATGGTAGCATTGGTTATCCAACATTTAGATCCATTGAGAATATAATGATCACCTTGTTTTACTGCTGCTGTTTTTAAAGCAAATGCATCGGAACCAGATTCAGATTCTGAGAGACAAAAACTTCCAACCTACAAAACGTTACAATTCTGAAATTATAAAATCTTTAAAAATTGCTGTATCTGATTCTGGAATAGAATTGAACACATCATCCATACAATACTTTGGTTATTTTTAGACATACACGAAGCAACTTTCATTTCAATTGTCACACATGCAATACAAGAGGTAGAAGTTTATCTGGAGAGTCGTGTTCACTGCTTATTTTTCTTTGAGTTCTTATATGCTGGCAATGTGTACACAGGTGTTGGAACGACATGACTAAATATGTCTAGGAAGCAACTGAACGTCTACAGCTAGATATCAAGAGTATCCATGCAATGAGTACTACTCCCTGAACAGAATCCACATACCTTAATTAATAAAGTCGCTGATTGACATTTTCAATTTTTCGGGCGATATCTAATGTCACAGCTTAATCCACACTAAAAAAAGACTTGTGTCAAGTTTAACACTGATAATAAAGACAAAATCAAAATATCAGTCGTAGATAATCCCTGGCATGGATTCAATTTGATTAAAATGAGGCCCATCAAAATCAAATAAACAACATAACCATAGATTGGAAGCTGATGGCAAGAATCTGCTGTATACCGATAATGAAAACTGTGTGGGATGTATTTTACTTACCATATCCATACATAAACGTGGTAAATATTTTGCTTTTTGTTCTTTTGTCCCATAATGTCTAAATAAAGATGTGATTAATGTATTCTGTACATCACAAATAACACTTATAGCTGGATCAACCTTGGCTAGTTCTTCTATTACTAATGTCATATTAAAAAATGTTGATTCACTTCCACCATATTCAGATTCTACTTCCACTCCCATTAACTATATCATACAAGGCAAAAAAAATAATATATTTTTTTATAAAAGCAAGCTTTAATAGTTTCTAAAGATTATAGTTAGCTAGCTAAGACAGAAAATTTATCATTCTTAATAAGATTCTTAAAGGACAATATTGGTGTCAGTCATTATAAAATATGTGATAGAACTGGTTAAATACATCCCAAAAATAACTTTAAAACAGAGATCATTGCTACGGGAGATGTGTAACAAGCACGTGAAGAAATGGGAAGTGACGACAAACATGACAAACACGAGTTATCCTACTTATATAACTGATTGAAGCAACGAGCGATAACAGACACATGATCGAATTTCATTTCACTGATAATTCAGTTGAAGATGAAAAGCTATTATATGAGATGGTGAGAGGATATCTGACAATTCAAAAAAAGAATTGGCTGTCATTAGATAAAAGTTAACGAACAAATTAGAAAAAGTCTGTGCATTACCATGTTTTTATTAAGAACAGAATGAATAAAAACTGGGGAATGCACAGGATTTTTCTATTTTTCTCATTTTCCCTTATCTAGTGACAGCCAATTCTATTTTTGAATTGTGAGATACCCTCTCAAAGTCCCATATAATAACTTTTCAACTTCAACGGAATTATCAGTGAAATGAAATTCGATCGTTTGTCTGTTATCGCTCTTTTCATCAGTCAGATACATAGAAGGATAACTCGTGTTTGTCATGTTTGGCGTCACTTCCCGTTTCTTCACGTGCTTGTTAGACATCTCCCGTGTTACTGATCTCTGAGTTAAAATTATATTTGGAATGTATTTAACCAGTTCTATCACATATGTAATTATGACTGACACCAATATTGTCCTTTAATTTAATGATTTGTTTAGTAGACAAAAGGTTTTAAGATTAGGGGCTTGTACTGTAAACAATTATCACAATGCATCTTTTGGGAAATTTGATTTAAAAGAGTCTGTAGAGTAGGATAATACACGTAATTCATAAATATGTATGATTGCTTACCCCGTTTTGAAATAAAGCATCCATTACAGAAGGATTAACATCACTTTTTTCATCCATCTCTCTAACAAATGGTTTAATTTTTTCATTGGCCATTCTTGAAACTGGAATTAAAAATAACAGGTATACCATATCAAATATATTATGGCTGGTAATTACAAAATATACCTGAGGAAACAACATTGTGTAGCTGGTTTCATTCTAAACAGAAGATTAAAGATAAAGATTCTGACATACTGATTTTTGTGGCTATGATTTAACAATTACTGATTTGGCAGGTTAATTGTTTAAAGCAACTAATTTCATTGTTGAAAAGTAGGACCAATTCTACACACAATTTCCCAAATGTCTCTTTTTTAAACTTCAGTAAACATACAGTCTGTGTGCGTTGCACCAAAACATTTTACTTTTGAAACCACTAGTGCTATAGACCGGAAATTCCCTTTGTGGACAAATTTTTAAAATCAATTTTACCTTAAAGTCAGTAATTACTTGACTTTTTACTAATCAGATACGATGTTTAAAAATAAAGTATTATTCAAATCTTAAATATAAGGCCTCTCTACACTTGCCACTCAGCCATCAGTTTACTAAACAATTTTACCTGTTTCTCTCATCATTTTTTCTTCATCACTGAGTAAATCCAGTGGTGCTGATCTATATAGAACACCCTCATCACGATTTACCAAATTATCAGCCGTGGTTGTATAATGACACGTCTGGTGGTTGACAAAATTCATACCATGAAGACATTTTGTGTTTTGTCTTATAAACTGGAAATAAAATGATATATACGCTTCAAAAAAAGTAGGGGATATTGAAATGCAAATACCTATGCAGGATGTGATATGATAAATAGTCATGGACACTTGACATGCTTTGAGAGTATGTTCACAGATGAAGAACTTATCGCCCCAACAGAACCACTGAGCTGCACATGCGACACGCAATAGCACCATACACGTGGGAGGGGTTTATTGTCAAATTTGACACTTCAAAGAAGGGTTGATGAAAACTGCCGCGTGCTGGTTTATCTATCCATGTTAGCATTCCTATTGGTTCTTGCATAAGATTTATTGTTTAGCGTGTCTTTGCTTTAGTGTTACGTTTAATTTGATCGGGAGACATGTTCGTCAACGTCAACCGACAACACTGCAAGAATTGGCCGTGGCACTTCAAGGGGAGTGGGTCAGATTGTCGCAAATCGTGATTGGACGGTTGATTAGGAGCATGCCACGACGAATTGCTGAATGTCTGAGGATTGGTGGAGCAATTACTCATTATTAAGACAAAAATCAAAAACGTCCATTTTCACTTTTGACGGTGTATCTCTTTGCGAGTGAAATGGGGCTGTCAGACAAGTCACCCATATGAACTGTTTATGTTCATGTGTAGGCAATTTGCCTGTTATTAACATACACTGGTTACCTCTAATAAAAACAGCAGTGCATTTCCGCAGTTTTGTATTGTTTCTGAATATCCCCTACTTTTTTTGAAGAGTATATATAAGAATCAGAAGAAAGAAGACCCTAAAGAATATTTGATAATTTTACTTGGTAATTTATACACTTCCTGAAATGAACGAAAATCAACTATTTTTTATTTCATAATACACATAAACCTGACCAGATGACTAGCTGAATAATTCCGATTAGTTCCTAAATCAATAGTTTACTAACCTTTTGATGTTATCTTACCCTTTTTATTGTGGCTTTTATTACATTTTAACATCTGGCAACCTACTGCCTTTTACGTCACGTCATTCAGTCAGCAGATGGCTGTCTTTTGAGACGGTTTATATTTTTCTTAGTTGCTTCTTTGTATTCAGTATTGTTTTGATTTTCATCTGTTTTTGTGGTAAATGGAATATACGCCCTAACTTTATAGTCAATATACCTCAATTCTATTCAATACTTAAAATGTTTCTCAATACATAGAACATTTAGTTTTAGACTACCTTTTTTTTTTTATTACATTTCACCGATATGGTTACCGGTACTTGAATAGGTAATTTTTACTTCAATATGTTTACATTCATATTTCATGTGACATATAGTAGATCATGACTCATGCTGGTTTTCTCTGGGTTATATTCCTGTTTGTTTGTTTTCAATTTTGAGTGAAGTCTATATCACTACAGGCGACTGTACAGCGCAGTGTACGCTTATGGCTATCCCCCGGATCCATTCACTTAATTTGATATGTTTGTTTGTTTGTGATTTCTGCCTATTGTGTCTTGTCCGTAGATTTGTTTTGTGTAAATTATGTGTGGTGCAGTCTCCCCGGCACTTACTATTAAGTTTTGTGCTTGTTTGCTTTGATCTTCCATTTATTTCCCTTTTTTTTCAGAATTATTAAAAAAAAGTGAAGTTTAGGGTTGAGCAAAAGTGAGCTTTTTGATGCAACATGGGCATGCCCGTTGTATACTTAATCCACGAACCTCGTCTTGAATCCGGGTGCTAGGAACTTTGCTATGATATAACGAAAGTTCATAAAATTTGGCATGTTCATACAGTATGCGTCTGTTGATTTGGGGAAGTAAAGATCTTCGAGCCATCAAAGCTAATTTAGAAGTTATTGTGTGCGCAGTGAGCCTACCATTACCCGATTCCCCAATACTTTTAGTTTGTTTACGGTAATATATCACGAAAATGCAACAAAGCTGGTTTGGTTGTTTTTTGATACAGCGTGGGCGTACACTTTGTTTATTGAACCTCACCTCGAATTTAAGTGCTAGAAACTTTGCGATGATATAACCTTATGCATCTGTCGATTTGGTGAAATAAAGATCTTCGAGCCACCAAAGCTAATTTAGAAGTTATTGTGTGCAGTGAGTCTACCCTAACCTGATTCCCCCCTATTTTTAGTATGTTTACGGCAATACATGTGTATCTCGAAAATGCAACATAAGAAGGCTTCTGGAATTTTGCAGTCAAGTAGTTTATTCATCCCTTGATTCTGTAAAATAAAAACATTTTGCCACCAAAGTTGGTTTGAATACTTTTTTGATGCAAAATGGAGCCTTTCTGCATGCTCTGTAAGCTTATTAGGCTAGTGAGTAGTGTGAGATATTTTAGTATGTTAACGGTACCGAATAGTTTGTTTTGTTCGATTATATTAATATGTCTTAAAATGTTATTCTCTAATATAAAGGTGATAAATATATAATATAGGTTAGGTTTTTTTTTTTACTGGCACTAGGAATATGTTTGGTTGCTAACTTCATTTCGAATCTGGGTGCTGGATCAATGAGATTCCGCTCGGTAGAGAATATAAATTTGTTTTGGGTAATTCAAGGTGTCTTGGTTTGTTTTGGGTAAATCTGGTCATGGTCATAGAGTTATAACTCTTTTATGCCTATGGCTGTGGTACGGTACGATTTATCGGTGGTCTTGATACGACTCCGAGTGGTCAGGGCATGCATTTGATGAACCCGGAAACCGGTGTTATTTCGATGAAAGCTGTAACTAGCCTTATAGGTAATATGATGACGATATGGAAAAATTTACTACCTACATCATCAATCATCAAAGCTTATTCATTTCTGTTTAATGTTCAGTTTCTTTTTCATATTTTTTATGCTGTAAGTACTTTTGTATAGAATTTAACAAAATTTTTGATTGGTTGATTTATTATTTTGATTGACAGCTGCGATCGGTCAATTTAGGAGGAAGATATCGTGAAGATCAGTAACTGTGGCGAGACCCGACTGCAGTGGTTTACTAGTTTGATAGCCTTCAGAACGGGACATTCATGTGGATATAAACCTGAAAATCTGTCCTGGCAACCAAAATCATGGGGTGGGGGGAGACCAGAGACCTATTCGCCCCCCCCCCCTCCTATTCTAAGGGGGGGGGGGGGGTATAGGCAAACGCCACAACAGGTTGATGCAGTACGTTTTAGTGTACAAACCTTGAAAATATGACAGCTTCTGGAGGCAGCCATTTTAGTCGAGATTAAAAGGTCTTTTCTCACCTCACGGTAGTCTATGTTATCGGATACAGAAAAGGATCGAATAGAAGTTGTTGGGTGGTGTTGGGGGGCGGGGGGGGGGGGGGGGTCGTCTTGAGAATGTTGCGGTTACGAGAAAATTTTAACGTTTGTAAATATCTTGATTTTGACAAAGCGAAGTTCTTTTACTTAGTACGGAACACCATTGGCATTAGGGCCAATCAAATCAAAAATTTTCCCGAGGCCTACTACCCCGCGTGATCTCGACCACCCTACAGTTTAATAGTTATTCCAGGGACCGCACACAGATTTTTGTCATGAATTTATTTTTATGATTTTTATGATTTTTTTATTTTTTATCAAATTTTATGATATTTTTACAAGGCAGTCTTTTACAATGTATTTATCACATTTCATGACTTTTTATATTTTTATCATTGTCAAATATTATGACTTTGACACTGACAGTAAAAAACTTATCTTTGGACCAAGAAGTAGTGATCTTCAGTGTTATGCGGATAAGAACGTCCCACCAGTAGCACAGGTGATATTAATGGTCGCCTAGTCATCATCTCCTATGTTCATATTATACCCACAGAAAGCCACGGGTTCGCTCCCGATGTTGGTTGCGAAAGTTCATCGGAGTTTTCCGGCGTGGTTTCCCCTTGTCAGTGGTGCAGGACGCAGGGTCTGACAAGGACAGCTGTCTAGTCGTTCGGATGGTACGAAAATCCGACGTCCCGTGTACACATTGGCGTGAACGTCAGAGATCATTTGGCAGTTGGAATTCAACATAAGAGTAGGCCTTAGCGCCGCTGTCAGAGCAACATTTCCCTCATAGCTCTCTGTATGGCGTATGCCCGTCTGCGGTTGGAGCAGAACAGTAGGACGTTATACCCAAATTTCATTTAATTTCATTTCATATACATATACCATCATACCATTAACTGAACACTGTCAAATAGAAAATGAAAGAGAGCAGCAAGCTGGGGGTCATAAAATGGCCTGGATGATTTTCTTATTCAAAACCGGATTTATTAGTATAGAAATTTATTATTAGGAGTAGCAATTTATGTTTAATTTTATATTTTGAATTTTTTTTCGTGTCATTTCATGTAAATAGGGAAATTTTATATTTTTTATGATATTTTCCATTTTATGATAATTTTATGAGAAATCACGAAATTTTCTGAAAATATAAATGTATTTATATTGTACTGTCCCTGTTATTCTTTCGTGTGCAACATTAGGCTATACACACAGAGCATATCATTTTGTACTGGAAGTTAGAATGATATTTGGGGTGGGGGTAATTACTGATAGGAACATGCCAATTACTGATTTACTTCGTTTGAAGGCAGTAACAGACATTCTTGAATGAGTTGTAGTAAATGAGGGGTAGCTAGCTACTTGAAATTTGTCTTACAATATTATTTCTATATGGCATTAATTTCTTCAAACCAATTTGAAATTCCTTGTTACTGGGCAATATCAACCGAATTTTAAATAATACATTATTTAAAGGGACTATCCCGATTTGAACAGAGTCTCAAAAATAAAAGTCGGAGTACGTATGAAATTTAAGCGACAAAATATAGATGAATGGTGTATTTACCTTGTCTCAAAATTCCAGCTCAAAATATTGAGTCGTTTGGACGTGAACGTCAAAACTGCTTATCCGGACACGTAACCTTTTTAAGATTTCGGATCAGTTTTTTCGTTGGGTGACCTGATAATCGATTCCCGTTCCTTGAAAGGTCTATACAGTGAATGACCCATGTGCTGTACTTGATAACGAAAGGTAAATGTCACCTACACATTATTTTTCTACAGTAAAAGTCTGGTTTTATCCAGACACCACATAATACAGCTTAGGACACTGGTCTCCATTTTCAGATGAAGGCTGGCGGGTTTAAATTGTTTGAAAACGTATCATAAATATTGATTTAGTTGCTCAACCCTTAGGTAGGGGATTTTAAGAGATTTTAACACAAAATTAAGCAGTTTTATTCTCCCAAAAATTATCGGGTTTAGCCCTTTAAATATTTACGAGCCACAAATTATTTATGCAAAGAAAATACAAAATGAAGAAATAATTAATATTGTATATTATTTAGGGAGATATAATAGACGTATAAGAAAACATAAATTCTACTTTACTATTTATTACAACACAAACCAATAGCTTGCTAAAAAATAAATCATGTATAACAAAATTTTTATATGGTGTATGCCATTTTGTAATTATACTAATTATTCAGCACCTTCCACGAATGTGTTGCCGTTTAACCATCCTCTCCACTGCAAGAACTATAAACGCCATGGCTATCCCGACAGATACAACAAGGATACAACCTAGCATGTCCTCTAGTCTCATTGAACGATTACCTTCTTTTAGTTTACAGGACAGGGGTCGATTATCTTTATAATGTTGATCTGTTAATATTTTTAGAAAACCATTGTCGGATAATTTCCACATAACCGAATCAAAGTCATATTTTAAATAGGAATTTTTAGTTACAGCGAGGGCCAAGCTTAAACTCGGTATAGCCACACCCGCCGTGTCCAGGACACAATCGTTTCTGTTCAGCACAAAATATAACGGATCTGAAACAACATATGCGTAATTATTTGAATTCAACACTTTCTCAACTTGAATAATCTTGTTTGATTCCAATACATTCGGGTCGGTGTTATTGCATTCTAAAATCTTTTGCCAAAGTCTCTGTAAAATTTTATTTGTAGTATTACTCACAGTTGTTTGTGCTAAAGAATCCCCAGTAAAACCTACTGTCCAGTCCGGGCGTCCAATTAATCCTTCCAAAGTTTCAAATGGTGGCTTTTCCGTAATTTCTGTAAGCTTTGCGGTGAGGTTACCAATGTAGACACTTGTTATTACAACGCAGAATATCCAAAAGAAGGCAACAATAATCCGAGCTGCGTCTCGTTTTGGCCATATTCCGTCTCCCCTAACGGACACAAATCCTAGTAAGGATATTATTAAATACGATACACCACAGGCATTTTTCCTTACCATATGGTCCTTTGTTAAATTGTTTGTTTCATTATCAACAAGGGCCAACAACATCCCAGTGATGAGGATACTGACAATAGTTAAAAAATAAACATGCCAATGCAGCGGTGAAAATATTTTAAACCAACTGCTGCCACTGCTGTGAATCGACCCCTTTTTGTACAGAACACCCAAATTTTCCATGTGAAACGGTGGGTATATGTAATCAACAACGTCTGACCTTTCCATGGTAATTGTAAGATCTGCAATGATTACATCGATATCTCTTCTCTCTGCAAGTCGCATAAGTCCGCGCCATTTACCATTTTTCTTCACTCCGTACTTTTTATCTTTTGGTTGAACATATGTGTACGTAAAATTCAATAGGTTTGATAAAATGTTAGTTAAGTCTGCCACAACACCTGTATAATGCGCATTACCGCCAGTATCAACGCGTTTCTTAATCCAGATCGATTCTAGCGTCCCTATTTTAAGATTGCGTCTATTTAGTTTGTAGCTGCTTTGAGGATACAAATTTGTAGTCGAACATTTCGAATGCGGAAGATCACTAGCGTATCGCTGAACGAGGCATTCTATATCCTGTACATTATTTCGCATAGTTTTGGTTGAAAACACACCTGTGTCATTAATATTCGCAAAGATAACATGTTCCAATAGAAGCTCAAAGTTATCAATTATTACTGGACCCGGACTCAGAAGAATCCAATACGAATTGGTTCGATAATTGGTGGTCTTGTTCGATTCGAGATCCAAATCATTAGCAATTTTTAAGAACTTAGTGGTACTGTTTCGTAGTAAGAGAATTATTGGCACTGGTGATTGTTGTGAATACCTTTGTATTAAAATATCACGCATGCTCTCTCGCCTATTTGCAGTAAGTTCATAAATGTTGATCTTTAAATTGGCGTGTTTGTTTTCCACAAATTCTAGAATATTTCTCACCAAATCAATATCTACTTTGTCATGAATGAAAATTACATAATTCCAACCCATTGTTTTTATTATCTCTAATAAAGGCAACATGAAAGTTGTAGAACTTTTTAAATCTGATCTCTGTACTTGAAAAACTTTGCCATCACGGGAGATTTGATAAGCATAGATAATTGTCACATTCAGGATAATTACGATTAACAAGAAGACAATGTTACACATGATTATTAAAAGCTTTCAAATGACACGTAGATTTATTGGAATAGTTGGGATTTCACATATTTTAAGATGCATCATTTAACACTACTTTAATTTGAGAGAACTTAAATTATCCAAAAATTAAAACATCTCACTTAATATTAGAAAACACTTCCATAAATGATAACTATTCCAAATGATTATGGCAGCTTTTAAATATTAAATATTCAACAATATTCAACAATATGAACATTTATTTTGTTGAACCGTTCACCCATATTCATAACAATGAAATGCATACTAGAAAGCATTTTATAATCGTGGCATTGTGCAATTTGGTGATATACCGCTACATATAAGAAAAAAAATTCTGAAATAATCAATGCAAGGAGCTTGACCGAAATGGAACAAAATGATAGTGGTTTTAATGCATTTTTGTTTATTTTGGGATTCAGATCCAACATTTAACGAATCTTAATGGTATTTAAGTAACTAAATCAAGCAGATAAATATGTATTTTACTCAGTCAGCAATATCCCAGCAGTTTACAATATTATATTACTTTTACTGAGAGAAAATTTGGCTCTATACAAACATTTGTCCAAGTAAAATAGAAGTCGATTTTTACAGATCGATAAAAATAATGTTTTCAGATTGAATATATTTGAGGTGCTTGGTCGACAATACCCGGACTTTATGTGATACTCCATTATTATCTTATTGCATTATTAAGATAGCTTTTAAATATGACACTTTCTTTTAGAAGGTTATCCATCATTTCTTCGAATCAGAACATAAATGGAAGATAATAGGACACCTTGACATACGCTGTTTTGGTGGCGGTAGTTTCTGCAATTACAATCTTCGGGCAATCTTGCGAACCTTTCCTACTAAACCATCTTCGATCTACGTCGTCAGCACTTTTGTTTTATTACATCAACTTTTTTCAGTATTAGCTTCACGAAACCAACACTTTATATTAACAAGGCATACAGATAACGAATAACTAGACAAGGGGAACCACGCCGGAAAATCGGGATGAACTTTCTCGGCCAATGCAGGGATCGAACACCCGACCTCCAGGCTAGCGAGCCAGCGTCTTACCCACTTAGCTACCGTAATCCCCCAATATAAATACAATAACACATAATAAGTATATTGACTAGCTACTGCCCTCAGCTCGAGTCGACAGATGGGGAACCATCTTTACGATCTCGCCATCGTGGTTGAATGATTTCTGGCGAATTTGTATCCAGATAAATCCATTCGTCGCATTTACTCTAAAGAACACATAAGGGCACCAGATGAAAGTTTTTGTATTTATAGCCAGTGGTTACTATATACACTTTCCTGCAAGCTCGCGTCAATCTGATGAAAATTATTCGATATATTGCCGTTTGAGTATCAGACACCCGAAAACACTTTTCAATTACAGCCTTAATCCGGTTGATTGGCCGGTGATGTCACAGGGAGGGACCACACATACAATAATACACTATTAAGCTCTTATCACTATCCATACACACCACCTCTTTAACTGGTGTGTATGGACGGTTCAAGTAACCTACTTACTAACCTAATCATCACAGATTATAATTATCTACATGTAAGCTACAAATCATTATAATTCAAAGCATTTTTATAAGAGATGACCTTTCTCGTCTTGAATTGTAATAGATTACATACATGTACTTGTGACTGGAATGTGTTAGAGTGAATTTTAAAATGCTACATTATCTTTGTGTTGTTGAGAGTTGTGTAAATTCCAGCAAAGAAAAGGGACATAATGTGCCGTCGATTCTCTTCCACCAAAAGTAAAACATTCTCGATCATGAACATACCCCATGCTGCAACCAGCTTGAATCACCAACGAACTATATTACACCCAGCTATTAATTTAGAATGGAAACAATTCCATCCCGATCACATTGCCGGCGTCAGATTAAATGAGAAAGGTATAACGGTGGGGGAGGGGACGATTTGACAGATACACCTAACCACAACGCTAAGTTTGTATTTGATATACAATTAGTCCAGGTAAGTTTTAATTCGTATTTATCACGTTGCAAAGTCAAAAAAAGACTATTACAAGTTTTGTGTGAACCTACATGGAAATGCCCGCGTCACTGTCATCATATTCCCATTGTCCAAATGACGAAATTGTGCCCTCTTTTCCTTCTGCCCTTCCCTTGTTTCAACTAATCCTGTGACACTAATAAAACAATGTTGTTGTTTATTAAAGATTTAACGTCCAATACAATGAATATGATATTATGGACAGGTTGATTTAATTAAATTATTTACACTTGAAAATTGTTAAAAACACAAAATAAAAAGGTCCTCGGATACCAAAAGTTTCTTAAAGCACACTTGTAAATTCGCTGTCGTGAGAAGAGAGGCGGGTCGTCTTCTCCCTTTGTCATAATAAGGTTAACACAGGAGGTTCAACTGACTGATGTTTGGCGTCATCAGATCGGATAGAAAAAAAAAGCCGTTGGGAAAAAAGAATCAGCTGGCTTTATGTGGAAAAGCGAAGTGCTGGCAGTAAAAACCACATAGCTGGACCCGTACATTATTTACATACTAGCAGGATACCCGGCTTCGCTCGGGGGTCATAACTCCGAAACCGGAAGTGGTAGACTAACGCCAACTGGCCTATGTTACTCCTCGGTCCGAGCTACCCCATACCCCAAATTTCAGACTCGGGGCAGACCTAGTGTAGCCGCCAACCCCGAACAGACCGTCTTCGCTCGGGGGTCATAACTCCAAAACCGGAAGTGGTAGACTAACGCCACCTGGCCTATGTTACTCCCCGGTCCGAGCTACCCCTATACCCCAAATTTCAGACTCGGGGCAGACCTAGTGTAGCCGCCAACCCCGAACAGACAGACAGACAGACAGACAAACGACAGTCACAAATATATATATAGATAGATAGATTAAAAGTGTTCGCCCAATAAGTTCCATGTTGTTAAAAATTAACTAAGAGTTCAAGACTTCAAGTTTAAAAGTTGTGAATAAGAACAATGTGACTGGAGGATAAAAACAATCGCGCTCAATGTACTTATATGCACCGTCGGCCACTACTCGCCGCTGGTTAGATTAGAGTACCCACTGAATACAGATTAATCTCTTAACAAGACTGCGTTGATTTTAAACTGTTAAACTAATACTCACTTGATGCAGATTAATCTTCTGACTAAAGCTGTCCCCCACAAGTGTCTAAAGGCGATAATGTGGAAACATTGAAGGCGAGTGGGGTGCCGACTTTCTCATAGCCTAGACAAGAATCAAACATGCTCAGTCAGGTAGTAGACTACCCATGTGGCTGGAGAGGATACCGACCTCTTTGGGTTCTACTGTTACAAAACAAAAGATGGGCAACCTGGTTTTTAGATCTGCCAAGCATACACAACTTGTTTTAAAAAAATCTAATTGGTAAATGTTGGAATATCAAAGTGGACCTGTAAGCGACACGGTTTAGTGTGTAGTGACTCATGCAGTGAATGTAAAGGTGTCGCCGGCCGGAAAGTTTCATGTGTTGTGTAAGAGCAAGAAGAGTTTGACCTTGAATAAGGTAAACACTCTTTCGGACATCATGTGATAGACAAATTTTTTTTTACAAGAAATGGCACAATTCAGGGCTGCACTCCAATTTAATGCGCTTGTGCTTATTTACATTTGAATTTCTATCAGTTAACTGACATCGGTTGATTTATGATATTTCTGACTCGTAGGATCATGTTTCTGTCTGTAATACATTTATAAGGTGAAAACTCAATAATAAAGGATTTATGAGGTTCCAAGAGTATATTTGGCGGCCATTTTAAATTTATGGAAATAAGGCCCTTTTCCCCGCTTTGGGTATGTTTTTGAGGATGATCCCACGAACACAACGGTGCAGGAAACCTTCTGTTGCAATTTTTTCTAGGTCAACTCTTATTTTAACTTGACTACAATGAAAATACAAAAATCAGAGCTGGTGACAATGTCGAGAATAACGATTTAAATAAGAAACTCGAGACTGGATGTCAAATTGTTTTCTGGGGATTTTCCTTTCGTCTATAGTTATCTGAATAATGGTCAATTCCTCCCTGCAGTTTACTATTCATCTATATATGCTGTATAAACTGATTGCTGGTTTGTTTGACACTATAAAGTAAAACCACTATATACAAAATTATTCATGGGGAGATGACAATTATTTATAGAACATGAGTGATCAAATCAAAATAAATGTATTTAATAGAAATTGTAAGGTACAGATCAATTTTCAATAACAATGTCTTTGCAGTATGGTTTCGCATGTCTTTCTTTGAAACAAGACAATACGAAGGTGGTTTAACTTTCAAACACGTGTCTCTTCATGGTATCTGCTTGGACATTTCTCAGCCAGTTCCTGGGGTCTCCATTTTGGAGTAGGTTTAATACTTTGCCTCAACCTCTGAAACCAACAAACCCAGTTTAATTTGAGAATCTCTGGTCCACATGCCATACAAAACATTTATACAATATCCGGATTCATTTCGGATTAATTTTGTTTAGGATCTTAAACCACCAAATGAATATAGTGAATTGTCAAGAATTGATTCTACTGAATATTATATTAGCATTTAAATAGTCTTAGCGTGATGATAAATATCATCTATAGTTAAGGTATCAAAGTTAGAGTACGCATCCTGCCAAAATTCAGCCGCCGTATTTCCTCAAAGCGAGAATTTCATATTTTCTAAGAAAGTCAAAACATAATTATTTCTATGTCTTTTGCTCAATAGGTTGTCAACTCACTATCATACGACCATAGGTATCATTCTCACACTTAAAAATCATTGACCCCGGAAATAATAACACAATTACCTCCCTTGTTTTTCTACCCCCCCCGCCATGGAATAGCTAGCTTCAAACGTTTGAATTTGAAGTTGAAAATGATATTTTTGCCAATTTCTCAACTGACAATAGTGAATTATAGGATTAATAGGATTATTCTTTAAATTAGCTAAGTCTCTAACTCAATATCATCCAAAATCTTCAACATTGAAAACACGATTTATTTGTCAAATTAAATCAACATTGATGTTGTGATCTTACCGGAAAAAGATGGGCTTTTGATATCCAATATTTAAGACAAAATAAACATTTTACCATTGGTACACGAATCGTGTACCATAATGCGCTTCAGCTTCAGTTGTATCAAGAGACTCGAGGGACGAGGCTAGACACATTGCACCAAATCAAACGGCGTATGTAGACTGGAATAACCAGACGCTAGAAATTTGCACTCGCTTGAGACTGCTGGCTTATTTCGCCGAACATAACTGATTTGAAATTGGAGTAAAAACGTAAATCATTGAATGTAAATCAGTTTATATACATTCATACTACAGTATTATATGCGTTGCGACCCACTTTTGTCAATTTCTAGGTCCCAAATGTTAGCGATTTAGCTCCTTTAACAAGGTAGGACTGTTTATAGATACCATCTATTTTAATACATTTTAAAAATATAACTTAAAAATATGAAACTATCGCTTTAAACTCAAACTAGTAGAAATGCCATATGGAATTAAACATAAACATTAAATATTTAATTACAGATTAGCCATGTTTACCTCTTTTATGGAACCTATTTCATTATAAATGGCCTTGATCATGAAAATAGGTACTGGCAGAAAACAAAGTATAGTAAGGCACCAACCAATGGCTGAAGCGTATGTTGGGTATTGATATTTTCCATAAGATGGCGTTTTAAATCCTACACATGAAGAAATTAAAATGGCCTGAATAAGTAGAAGAAAAATAAAATTAATTATAACCATCAAGTTTTTTTAATCAACAATACTGTTTTTCAATCGAAATGGCATTTGGGAACTGGTTAGGCTCCTGTTGATCCATCTACACTAATTATATACATATACAATATAGATAAACACATAGAGAAACATAACCTTTATATACAAATAATTATTTGAAACAAAAAAAAATATTTATCTACCGTAAACACAGAAGTATTTGTGCGTTATCTATATATATATATATATATATATATATATATATGTATGTATAAAATTGACGGTTCGGATAATTATCATTACTTTAAATAAAGTAATATACATATGCTATGTGAACTCCTCGAACGGGTAGTGGATAAGGATACACCGGTACGTGCACTACACTAACTAACTGGGTAGACCATTCAATGGTTTTAAACAACCAGGAGAATTATATTATATGTGTATGAGAAAAAAGAAGCAGTGCGCCCCACCACACTCCCACCCCTCCCCTCCAGTCCCTCATTATCCAGTGTCGGTATAAAACGACAGACTTTATCCTACCGTTCACATGTTATTTGGAAATCAAAACACCCGCTCAGTTTTTGGTAGTTAAAGCATCGAGAATTCAGTTCACCAATGGCTTTTACTCCACGGGGATACTTACAACTAATATGCCAGGTGTAATAATTTTCCAGAGTATCTCAAAGATTACTGGTGGTTTGCGTCCAATCATCATCTCAATATCTTCACCAAACTTATCAGTACCTTATTAGTATAGAAAACAAACGCAGAGATAATATTTGGTTCGATCTAAACTAAATATGAAAAGCAAAAACCTGGTGTTGTTTTCCACTAAAATAATATTACTGCGGAATCTTTCAGGATAGGCCTACTGCATTTTATATTTAGAAACTATGGTAAGTGGGCGACAGCATGATTATTTACATTAAGTGTGTAATGTGGGTGTAAAATAAAGGGCGTACATACCATAAATCCAACCAAATACAACACATTCTATAATACCGAAACAGAAGACACTAAATGCCCCAACATACCAATCAAATATTTGGAATATGTACATCCCAGCCTGAAATTCAAGCCGATATTTTAAATAAACAAATAAACATGTTAATGCTAGAAACTGTAACGAAATGAATTTTATGACTAAGGGTTACAAGTTGTACCACGTGTCCTTCGGGATTATAATAATAATAATAAAAAATCAGTTGACAACGGGGTAATGAATGAACGGTAATAGTTCCAACCGGGCTATATGGTGAGATACAAGACAGGCTAAATCACATCACAAAACAAAATTACTTATATGCATAATAAAACAAATATCACAGATATTTTTAAATCAAAATAGATATCCCACCATGAAATGTTTCCAAATATTTAAAATGTAAAAATGACAATGATATTATGTACAATTAAAATTTATGATCAAAACCTGTATCTTATAAAAAAAATCTAGTATTTTACAATATAAATCCGGTTTGGTAAATAATTGTTGTAATGGCAAACGGTTAAATGCAATCTTACATCTTTGTAACAACGGTAAAGATAAAGGGTAATTTTAGAGAATGTCTTGACATCGAAGTTACTGAATATTATCTTATGTTCTTATTTAATACCAACCTGTGTACAAAACAGAAGTCCGAGCAAAAACATGATAGAACAAATGATTACAGTGCATAATGGACGTCTTCCAGACAACTGTGCAGGGAACGAATCAATGATTACGGACACTGCTAATTCCAGAAAACAAAACTGAAATGATAAATAAATATACCACTGATTAAAGTAATTAATGCATGAATATAAACGAGCCATAATTAGAGTATTAATTAATTTATTAAATAGCTAATATCATTTCAGAAAATAAGCCATACCTGAGTATCGAGACCCACAGATAAAAGCATCAGAAAGAACAAAAAACACCAAAGTTGGGGCACTGGTAACAATGACAAGGCTTGGGGATAAGCGATATAAACTAGTCCAGGTCCTAAAATATAACGAAAAAACATACTGTAATAAAATGTAAGCTAGCCACGGTTGGACACTACATCTATATTCTAACAACTAACAAAAATCTTCAATGACCCCAATTATTATAAATGTTATTATAATATTTCGATTTTCCAGGATATTATCATGTACTGTACACCAACCTTTTTCACTGTGGCTGGTGCAATTAAAAGGAAATGGGCTTTTACTTCTACTGTTCTGCTCTGAATTCCAACTGCCAAGGGATCTTTTACATGCACGCCAATGTGTACGCTGGACCTCGGTTTTTCGTCCCATCCGAACGACTAGACAGCTTTCCTTGCCAGGCCCTCTGTCCTGCACTACTGTCAAGGGGAAACCACGTCGGAGAATTGGTGTAATTAAAGGTAGAATTCTTATAGGAAGGTAAGGACTGCGGGGAAGAATACACAAGTAAACCATATTCTCATTGGTGTTGCATTGGAGATGACATTGTCTTCGTTCAGGTATCAGGTGGCATGCAATGGATTGGAAACCACCGCTAGTGACGACCCAGATAAGAAACCCCAGTTTTCCTCTCTGCCAACTTCATGATACACTTCACTATAAAACCACCTGAACTTGAATTTAAGCATGGTCAACTCTAGGCAGCGGGTGTTCATAAAATGTGAAATTCAATGAAGAGAATAATTTTCATGTCTCTAAAGATGTTTGGGAATCAACAATTTACAAACCCCATGTCAAAAACTATAGCTCCTGTTACACATTAAACAAATAACTTCAAAATGGGGAGAATAATGTTCATGCCTCAAAAGATGTTTAGGTATCAAACAATTTACAAACCCATGTCAAAATACATAGCTTCTGTGAAGCACAGAAAACAAATAACTTCTAAATATTTCACAATTAGACTACAAAAATTCTATTACTTTTGGAGTGTATATGAGGGGAACCTATATGTTGATAATCATCACAATACTATGGAAAACAGTCAACAGATGTTGTATTGGGGTGGAGTAGTCAACAGTATTAGTAATACATTATAAATAATATGCAAAAGAGAACTTATTAGTTTTAAGTTCTAAACGGAAGACAGACAGCAATATAACAAAAGTTATATTTAAAAAAAGAACATACCAGAGGAAACCACTTCCGACACACTGATCCCAACATTCTTCGCCATAAATCCCAATATAGAAAATATGACTAACCCACCAAATATACTCGTTCCTGAACAAATAAGACATACCATAATGGAGTCTCTGAGAAAAAAAAATCAAAACAAAAATATTTTATATTATTAAAAACTTGTTATTGTTTGAATAATAGAAAAAGAATTTGAGCCGTAACTATTACACAACCTCGCCATATACCTGTCCCCCCCAAACTTTAACTTTAAATCTAGCTCACAGTCACACATATATAGTTACACGTTATTTGTGTGGTTAAATATGATTACATGTTCAACTTTGTACGACATGTTTGAAATGATACCTGTAAGCATTGCTCTTGAATTTATTGTAGCTAGACAGAGTGATAATAACTCCCCAACCTGGTCCTAGAGAATAAAATATTTGTAGAGCTGCCTCGATCCATACCTGCATATAGAACATATTAAACTTTTAACATATTATGAAAAACCAATAATAATATTTGATATCGAACCGTCAATATTCAATTTTAAAATTTTCTCGTTATTGTATTGAAATAACTATAGATTATGGTGGCAATCATGTGATGCCAAGTTTAATGATAACTTAAGTCTTGCTTTTAAAGAATGGATCTCATCTTATATTTTCAAGAGAATATAATGATCCTTCTTAGACATATTAATTATTTTAGTCAATCTAAAACAGGTCACTTGTGAATATTTCCAAAATGATAGCTTTGGTAACGTCATGTTATCCATAACTATATGTTCCGCACTGCAAGTAACCAATTTCAATATCTCAAACCAGGCGGTTGTCTTACATGTAAGCGCTTGAATTGCATAATTGCACCATCGAGAGAGAGAAAAAAAATGGGGTTTAACGTCCACTCGATACAAGCTAGGCCATTTCGGGACCAACATATAGTTCAATGTTATTTCAATAATTCGCTTTCGCGTAGGGCTCTTTAACAGAGGGAGCAAACCGGAGTACCCGCGAGGTTTTGCACCATCGAACATCCTGCAATATGTACTCTATACCAGATGAAATAAAAATAAAGTTTTAATACTTACTGATAGCTCTTTCAGCTTATAAAAATCTGGTCTAAGATAAAATATAATACCATCTACAGCACCAGGTAAAGTTACTCCACGAATTAATATGACAACCAGTAAAATATATGGTAACGAGGCAGTTACATAAACAATCTGTTGAATAAGGCATTATAATAATTATATTACTATCGATACCATAAATTGTCATTTGTTCATTGTCCTATATATAAAACGCCATCTTAGGTCTATTACGTATACAGCAATGCAACATGTTTGTTTATAGGGAACGTCAACCCTACTCGATGAAATAGTAAAAATACAAGTAGAATCTATTATGTTTTTTCCAATTCAACTTTGGGTGAAGGTAAACAACTCTGCGTAATTTTCAATTACTTCATTGGTCTTTTGGGTTATATTTTAAATATTTAATTTGAAAAGTATAAGAATGATCAAAACTATTGAAAAAAATATATATAACTAATTTGGATACCTTGCCAACAGAATGTACACCTTTAATAAGACACAAACACACGATGATCCAGGCAACAAGTAAACAAACAACCAAATGCCATTCAATTTTACCAATGTACTCAATTCCTGGAGAAATTCTAAGCGCATTGTACCTGCAATATTTTCAAAAACATTTGAGACACGTTTCTCTGTTGTATATCTCCACTGGGAATATATATCCTATGTATCTAGTAACATTTGTTCTCTCTGAATTTTGTTCTAATGATCTCATCCATTACCTGTCTATTCAACTTTCAATTTTTAACCCACATACCTTAACTTGAAATGCCGTTCCTTAGCTGACTATTAAATGAAATACAATGAAATGGCGTTTAACGTCCTACTATTCATCCCCGTCTGGGCTAATGAAGACGGGCATAGGTCAGTTTGCTATAGGGTTGATTTCGCCCGGAAAGCGGCACTGCAGCCTACTCTTACATCGAATTCTCACTGTCAATGGTTCTGTATGTACACGGGGTCTCGGTTTCTTGTCCATTCAGAACGGAACCCCGGACCTCTTGGTTAGTGAGCCATCGCCTTACTCACTGAGTCACCGTGGCTCCCAGCTGAATAATAAGATAACAGATTAAGCGTTACACACTAAATGTCATTGTAATAAACTAATTATACATACTGCCAAAACTCCTCTCCTGCTGTATGGGCCATTGAAAGATTTGACCAAATCTGGTGTTCATTATTCTCTGCTTCATTGTTAATATATGTGGTGTTCACCATTGTCAGGTTGAACATGACTGATGTATTGTTACTATTAGTCGAGGAAAGGCTTGTACAATATTCAGTATTCCACCACTCACCACATAATGTCCAGGGCAATGTTGATGAAAATGATTTAAATGTATAATACAGGGTCCAAGTAATTACCATAATATAGGAAGTGACACTTAGTGTACATGTTACCGCCATACCATAGCCAACACCTAAAAATCATACACGTCAACATAAATAAATAAATATCTGTAATGACAGGGAAAGAAATATTAACATGGTCATAATTCTGTATGTAAATTGCTAATAATAAGACACAAATATGGAGCTTTATTCGAGTTAGAAAAGAAAAGTAATTAAATTTTAAGAATAACATTAGACTCACCTACTTATCGAAAGAGTAAGGCGTGTTACCCGATTCTTCGTTAAACTTCTTGAAAATCACTAAAGAAGTGTGTAAGAGTCGTAAATTATAATGTAAACGATGAATGGCCGATTTGTCTTAGATAAAATCTATTATGAACACCGATGTGAATGCACAGCCAAATTACATCAATTTCAACGATCTCCTAAATGCTAATACCCCCTTACAAAATTTTGTGCAAATTTTACCTTTAAAGTGATTCTTCGTTAAACTTTTTTGAAATTCACTAAAGAAGTGTGTAAGAGTCCTAAAGCAAGAGTTAAAATAATCATTTATCATTATAGACGCATTACGCAATAGCTAGGCTATATCTACCTATTGCAGGTATTTTTTCTGTCTTCAAATGTTATATACATAATTTTGGCAACTCTCTAGAGCATCGATGCCTGTGATATTGAATGGGTTAGACCATCCGCGTCATATAACTCAATATAAAAAGACTAACAATCGAGACATAATCTATTATCATGGCAATGATACGGGTAATTGACAATCAGCCATATATTGTCAAAACTGCAATCAGAATACAATAGCCTGACGGACAAGTTCAACATATTAATTTTCCATTATCGATTTTTAACTATTATAGTGGTCGACTCATATCTAGATCTGAATTTGTCATTTTCATCATCGAATACTGCACTAAATACAAAACAAATAGAACCATTAATAGCCCGTTCAAGCGCTTAGTTTGTACTAGTTCAAGATCACTGGAGATACGCCAAACCAGTTTAAACATACATTATGCATGAGCTAAATCTGTCTATTGCAGGTCTTTCTTTAGGCCTGAAATGTTATCTAAATTATTCATTAGACATTAATTAACTTAACCAGACTATAATCAACTCTAGATGGCATTGCTAGCCTACGATCTTAAGTGGATTGTTAGACGATTTACTGCATAACTTTCCTTCTCGATTTAACGATTAAATGGATAATCGAGACTATGCTGTTTATCGTACTGACTTTAGTAATGATGACCGAGGCTAGGCATAAATTTCATTCGCTTAGTTCTGGGTTCATAGCGGATCAATTTGGATGAAATTTTCAGCAAATTGCCTTTACGTTATCTAGTTTTTAACTATTATAGTGAGAACTGCCAACTCGTTATCGAATCTCCCATAATGTATCTTTAACTATTTTAACTTCATCAGCTAAAGGTTAGAGTTTACGCATTTTACCAGGAAGGTAGTTTACACGGTGTGTGGCCAAAGCAAGCTGGAGCCGTCGATTTTAAGCCGAACCGTTCACTTGAAGCCCGTTACAGAGCTGGGGTTTTAAACAAAGAAATTATTCAGACGGGTTCCGCGATGGACGGTGGGGAGAACCAAGTAGAGTATTTTAATCGACCTTGCTGCACAAACATTGAATATAATAAAATAAGAGTACCTTTCAATAGGGGACAAACTCCCCAACACTCGATAACGCCTTGACCTGAAAATTGCCCCATACATACTTCAAGGAAATAGAGCGGGACACCACAAAGGAACAAAAACGTGAGATATGGAATCAAAAAAGCACCTGAAATATAAAATTGACACATCAATAGATATATTTGAATAAATCTTAATAATACACGTATTTGTCTGTTATTAAGACTAGAATAAGTTAAATGTAACCCACAAGTATGCCTTGTTAATACCAATGTAAACAGGCGGCCTTATGGTAGCCAGCTCGTTCGTTCGTTTCTGGAGTTTTACGTCCACTTCCACCTAAGGTGATATCGTAGACGGTAGCCAGCTCAGTTCAGAAATGGGTTATTCAAACGCTGTTTGGAAGTTTGGAGGATAAACTAAGCTGTCAGTGGCTATAAACAATGTTTCAAAGTTAGGAAATGATGCAAAAATCAGGTCAGTGAATGAAATCAAAAATGAAGAGTTCAGTGAATGAAGTCAGAAGTCAAAAATGCAGAGCTCAGTGTGATTCACAGACTTTGTTTTCGTGGTACGAACATCATTTGAGCTTGAAAACGATAAGAGAATACACATCGAAACGTCGTGCTATATGTGTATAAACCAGTGATTGTTTTCCATATAAATTGTGTTGTGTTTTTTTTTTATCGTGCTCAATCAATAAATCCCACTCATTCAGAGAGAAAGAGAAATCGGGTTTAACGTCCACTCGACACGAACTAGGTCATTTCGGTACTAACATATGGTTCAATTTTATTTCAATAATTTGCTTGCGCGTAGAGGTCTTTAGCAGGGGGAGGAAACCGGAGGACCAGGAGAAAACTAACCAGGTTGGAAGGCGACCCTACTCCTTGACACATATAACCAGGGAATCGAAACCACGCTAGTTGACTCGGCCTAATGAGACAACGCGCACGCTCTAACCATTTGGCAATCCAACCCCCCACCCCTTATACATACTTTGTGTTTGTGGTACGAACTGGGGAGACTCGAATACTTTTTGTTCGGATTGGTTGTTTTGTGTGCATGCTTTTGAATATACCATGTGATGTAATTTCCTTGGACCAGTCAGAATGTCAATCCAAGTCTGACTATCGCATCAAATTGTTTGCTCATCACAGTACAGGCCATGTTGGTGAGCTAATATATTTTTTTATGGGCCCACTCTTTGCATCATCACCATAAACGTCTCTGGAACTCAAAATAGGCCGGTCTTCCTTAGCCCAGTAGGACGTTACACCCAATTTCATTTCCAAAAATAGACGAAAATTGGTCTAAAAGTAGTTTTGTAATTTCAAATCAATTATGTACTGTGAAATACGCAGATTGTCTAAATACGCTAGGTTTAACTAATTGTTATTCTGTCACTTGTGAATCAGCCTTTTGTAATTACTTCTGCATTATCTTATGTGGTGATTTTCTTTATTATTTACAAATGGTGCGCGTAACCATGAAATTTCCAATATATTTATTTTGCATTATAGTGAGAACTGTCAATTCTTTATCTAAATTTTACTTAATGCTTCTTTAATAGAACCGTCTTAAGTAACTGCCGCCAACAGGTTTATATGGATATATGCACATTTATAATACAATCATAAAGTAATCATGATTACAGCATAATGTAGTAATATGGATGTCGAGATTTGTGCAAAATAAGACATATGCATAATAATAATATGGCCTTGCTTAATTATTCCCCATTGTCAAAATATTAGCTATGGTATGAGTTTATTTGAAACGCAAATTAAATAGTTTATGAAATATTATGATAATAACAATAAAAGGACAAGGATAAATTCTATGTCTAAAAGCACGTGATAGGAATGTTACCATTCCATATTTGGCATGAGTGACCAATCACATGATTAATTACATCATAATTAGCCAATAGAATAATTAATGGCTGTGAGAGAGAGAGAGAGAGAGAGAGAGAGAGAGAGAGAGAGAAATGGGGTTTAACGTCCACTCGACACAAACTAGGTCATTTCGGGACTAACATATGGTCCAATTTTATTTACATAACCGGAGGACCCGGAGAAAACCCACGAGGTTGGAAAGGCGACCCTACTCCTTGCCACGTACAACCGGGGATTCGAAACCACGCCAGTCGACTCAATGACATTAATGGCTGTGAATCTGGGAGTAAATAAATAATAGAATGTGCGCTCTAGGGTCGAGGAAAAAATTCAAAAGAAATGTCAAATTAGAGTCTCAGCCGTTCGGTCACAGAGCAAATGATCTATTAAAAGACCTAAGATTAGATCACTATCAGATTATTGACAGGGTATTTTCGTATCAAGCCCCATGGACTTTTTTTAAATACAAACTATGACATAAGCCTAGGTAACGTTCAGTAAAGTTGTCAAGAAAAAAGAAAATCCACAACACGTTCTAATGCTATCGAGTGAATTCTTGAACGAAAAATGGTCATAGCATGTGAAAATATACACTGACGGGTCTCACGATCCAAACACTACCAAAACTGTGTTAGGTGTGGTCATTCCCGAATTTAATATTAATATATCGAAAAGGCTACCAGACGGATGCTCTACCTATACAGCAGAACTAAGGGCAATATCCACAGCTCTTGGGTGGCTCGTGTCATCCACTGGTCAAAGAGCAGTCATTGTGCCAGACCCCCTTAGCGGCATAAAGTGAATAATACATGACCAAAAAAAAACCCACCTTGACCAGAACTTGTTCAGAATATTCGAGAAAGTGTTTATTCCCTCCGAAACAAAAACAAACCCGTAGAATTTACATGGATACCATCCCATGTTGGCATAGCAAACAATGAGTCAGCATACAAACTGGCTCGCAAAAGACTGAATACTTAAAATATAGCGTTCAGGAATTTAATAGCATCGTCAAAACTAAAATTAAATCAGAATGGAAAATTGAGTTGGCCAGAGCAAATACTTTTAGATTCAATTTAAACAACGATCTGGTTGTAAAAACGGAGATTAATCGCCCATCGCGCAAACTTTGTGGGTTAATTACAAGATTAAGAACTAAGGATTTAATTACCGACCATAAATTTAACCCAGTGAAGTGCGAATGTGGCCACAACTTGGCCGTTAATCATGTCATCATTGCGTGCAATAAATTGGAAAAGAAAAGACTCCCTGTACGAAGTTTAATGGAAAATGCCAAACTTCAATATACCCTCCAAAATGTCTCCCCCCCCTCGGAATATGTCGTATAAAATTTATGAAACTATCTCAAAATTCATAGCAGAATCGGGTATTAACTGTTAAGTTAGTTGCGTTAAAAGAGCACTAGTCAAAGAACGATAAATTAACGTTAAGATAGGGAACTACATATCTAGTTACAAAGAAAGGGACTATTGTTGTGGGACAGTATGCAGCCTGCTGCATGATTTAATATAATAATATGCTAAGGAAAAATGACAAAATAAAGGAATAGGGATAAAATAAAACCAAGTACGAACAATCCAAACCATTAGACAAAATTCGAAGTCCTAAAAAAAAAACGGTATAGGCAAAATAGTGTAATAAGGCAAAATAGTGTAATCAGCATATGGACTGTTCACCGTGTACAAAATACACGACAAACAGTGTTACAACCATTATTAACAATGACAGTGAACATCAATCAATTTAATTTAACCTGTGTTTAAACATTTATTTATCCCTATAAATGGTCCAATTTGTCTTTTGTGTGTGTGTGTTGCTACTTTTTCTTTTCAGGTAACTTTTTATCTGTGGAGAGCCATACACAAGGAAAACTCTAATGGAATGCCTACAACTTTTAAACTTGTAAGTCTTCTTGAACTCTTAATTAATTTTTAACAATATGGAACTTATTGGACGAACACTTGTAATATGTAAATAATCTATGGGTCCAGCTATGTGGTTTTTACTGTAAGCACTTCGCTTTTCCACATAAAGCCAGCGGATTTTTTTTCACCACGGTTTTTTTTCTATCCGCTGTGATGACGCCAAACATCAGTCAGTTGGACCTCCTGTTTTAACTTTATTATGACAAAGGGAGAAGATAACCCGCCCTCTCTTCTCACGACAGCGAGTTTATAAGTGTGCTTTAAGGAACCTTTGGTATTCGAGAACCTGTTTTTTTTTCAATTTGTGTTTTTAACAATTTTCAAGTGTAAATAATTTAATTAAATCAACCTGTCCATAATATCATATTCATTGTATTGGACGTTAAATCTGTAATAAACAACAACAACAACAACTCTAGGTAGACACAATGAAGATTTGAGAGAGGAAACACCATGTAGAAATTCGTTAGGAGAGACCGTTATGATCCAAGTGTATCAACATCTGGGTTGAGGGATAGAAAGAATGGCTTTATTATAATTATGCTCGTATCCTATGTATTGGAGCGTAATATAAAACTGTAATCATGTGAAATAGCTTTATTTAACGTCCGATTCCACCGAGGTGATATCGCAGACAAAAAACTGTAATCAAGAAACTCTTGTATTTGTTGTTCCTGTTAATCATGCTATTCAAGATGCAGCATATTCAATCACAATGTGAAGCTGTCGTTAATGTAGAAATGTTGAATGTCAGAATAAAATTTAAAAAACACAAGTTGAGGTGTTAAAGTAACATTTAAAGATACGTCCTAACCAGTTAAAGAATTACAAATGCAACCAGAGACAATTCTAGACGATCAAGGGCTGTTCCAAAATATGTAGTAAGAAAAGGGTGCATGGGTCATACGCCGGATGTGGCGACCGGTTTGCCAAATGCCCACTTTCTACGTTTGAAAGACGACCCATGGTACTGCAATGATTTAAACAGCAATTACAATTAGATGTAAACAGATAAAGCCTGGTTGCAGATCGCATTTGATGATTTGAAAATTTGTAATCGGTTACAGCTGATTACCATTACTGGTTATGATTACCCCATTCTGTCCTCACTCGAATATTCACTCGACACAAACTAGTTCAATTCGGGACTAACATATAGTTCAATTGTATTTCAAAATTTGGTTTGGACGTACGGGATTGTAGCAGTGGGGGGTATCGGGGAAACGCACAAGATTGGATAGGCAATCCTACTCCTTCTCACGTTAAACTCTCTCTCTCTCTCTCCCAATGGAAATCCTCCTAAA